ATCACAATAAATCCATATATATATATATATATATATATATATATAATGATAAGTACTAATTAAATGATAACATAAGGAAGATAAGTAGAGAAAAGGGGTCAGGAGGAGGGGGGGTAAAGGGAAGGTACTAAGAAAGGAGATTGAGAAAATTATGTTATGAGCTTTAATGAATATGACACATGAATCCCACTACTATATAATTATAACACACCAATTTAAAAAAATAAAGTAAAAAAAGAGAAAATAACTGACACTTAGAATGCCAAGTCCATCAGAATAAAAACATAACTGAATAAGTCCACCCCCTGCAAAAAAAGTCACTGTGACCTTACTAAGACAGTTAAAATTAATTTTCCTAGAGTATGTTTAAGAAACAGTACGAGGTAAGGAAGCAGAATTTAGACAACTTTTTTTGTAAGTGGGAACAGAGGACTGGGACAGTAGCTGCAGAGAGACATGGAGCCAGGAGAGGGGCTTAGATCAAGGAATATGAATGGTTAACACTTCTATATAGTGCCAAACAAAAAAGCGGTCATTTTAAAGGGAAAAGATGTACTTCATTCACTTGTTCCCATTTAAATCAAGTAAGTCATAGTATATCTCTATTTGTTATTTCAAATATTTATTACAGAAAAAAAACAAATCCATATTTTGAGTATTTACTACTTACAGAATCCCTATGTGGCATGATATCCACAAAAGACACTTTCTTCTCTACAGGTGTTAAACGTCTAGGTTTAGGTATTGGTACCTAAGATAAACCAATATGTCAGGATGAGTATGGTGAATAGTAGATAAAGTTTCAACAATTTTTTCTTTGGCAGAGGTATTTGGCTATTAAGTTTGTATTCAAATTTTATGTTTGAAAGAAAATTTGAAGTTATAGCTACTCACTGCAACTGATGTGCTAACAGAGGATGTTGAAGGTAGTGCCTGAACAACTTCTGGTTCTCTGTGTATGAAATTTCCTTCAACTTCAGTAGTTATCGATCCACTTGGTGGAAGATAAGCAAATTTCCATTTTAATATAACATGGATAGTGCCCGCAGGATTCTTTTGATGATCTATTAACTCAAATAGTCCTGTCAAATTACAAAAATATTTTTAATTAGTAAGAGTGAAATTTTATTTACATATGAATTAAAGAGAAACAAAGAACCACCCTCTATTTAAAAAAAATTTTTTTTAGCATTTTTTACTTACAACTCAAATGTCATTGAGAATAAAATAAAGAGGAATTATGATAAGTTCGTTTCTCAAACTGACTTCTTACAGAAATTAAGGCCTCAAAGATAATACTGACTTAACAATGGGAAATTAATTTATAACTATTTTAATTCCCTGAAATTAAATTCAGGATTATTCAGAATTCCTAGCCTTCTTCTAAGACATATCTGGTTGTATTTCAAGTACTGATTTTCATTTTGACTTGAAAATGCTTGTAAGAGACTTGTGTCTAATGAAAAACATATTAAAATTTTAAAATTTCAAACAGTTTATGTATGTAAAGAAATCTTTACATTACTATAAATTGTTATAATTTTAAAATATATGTATTTTAAAAATATTTTTTATTGTAGATGGACACAATACCTTCATTTCATTTTTATGTGGTGTTGAGAATTGAACCCAGCATCCCACACATGCTAGGTAGGCACTCCACCAAGTGAGCTATAGCCCCAGCCCAATTTTAAATATATTTTACCGGAAGTTGTTATATTATTGCAAATCAATATGCAACAAATTGAGCAGCATTTACTGAAAAACATTCAAAACAGTAAGAGTCTGTGGGACTGCTCTTAGCGTCTTCTCTCCTCCTTCTGCTACATGGTACCTACAGAGGTTTATAACATATACAGGTATACTATATATATATATATGTCAAGAATAGCAGAAATGTGAGAATGAACACATAGTGAGAATGAAATTGTATTAGTCTTTCTATATTTTAATGGAATTAGGTTAGTGTTAATTTTAAGTAGAGTATGATATGATGCATATTATAATTCTTACAGCAATTGCTCAGTAAATAACTAAAAAAAAAAATGGCCCAAAGTTTAAGGATTCTGAGAAGGTTAGGAAAATTAGTTATAAACAAATCACATCCATAACACTGAGGTACAATTTAAGTTTGCTTTTACAATTTTGTAGAATCAAGAACACAGGCTTACCTGAGATACACCTGTCATGTGCCAATGAAATCAAAGGCACATTGACTTTTCCTATGTAAATATTCTCCTGGGTATCACTATCATCAAACACATAAAAACTCAGAGACTCTGACTTAAGGTATCGATCCAAATCCATATTCATTGGCACTGGGAAACACATATGATCATCAAACTGTGGATCATTGCTACTGGGAATGATGGCTGTATCATGGTCTGCAAAATCAAAAAACTTGTACACAACATATGGGTGTGGCTGCAGGTGGCGAGCTCGGGACTGCAGGTTGTTGCAACATCTTATTGTAATGTCAAGTTCATTTAAGTTGCCTTCTGTGGAATCTGTTGAACTGAGCTGAGCAGTTTTAGGTACTTGCTGACTTAACTGGAAAAACATACATATTTATATTATAGAAATAATACAATTAAAAGATAAACAGCAGCTGCCAACCCCCAAACAAAATAATTTTGTAAATGGACAGAAGCTGCATAATTTCATTCAAAGTTAATTTATCAGTTAAGGTAAAAAAACCCACCTTTGATTCTTATTTAAAACCATATGTGGACAGATGATCCTGCGCTATTAGCAACAAACATAGGAGATTGAGAAGGTATGTAGAAATTGGTGTTAAAGCCAAAACCAACCAAGAAAAGAGTTATTAATTCTATTTAATAACCAGAGACTACAGTGAGTGATAGGTCTAAAGAAGAATGCCCTAACCAGAGGAGATTCATCGCTTGTCCACAGTGATAATTCTGTTATATTTGGGGTTGGCCCTCATCCTGAACCATTGGGGTTTGAAGAAGCAGATATATGAGGCCAAGATTAGCCAGTGTATCAAAGTCCAACCTCAATAAGAACAAGAAAAATATGGGAGGGCTAAAAAGCAAGGTTTGGGAGGACATTTTGGAAGAGAGATGAGCAGCAGAAGTTATCAGGCAGAGCTGGGAACTACTCTATGGTTCCTTATGGAAATTCTACTAAGAGGGCCACCACACAAGTATTTTGGAAAATAACTGCACTAAACAGTAAATCTTCCATAATTGATATATATAGGACAAAGAAAATGCTAGTGTTTCAGTGTCCTTGTTTAGTTTAGTGTTGGAGAATTCTCTCCTTTCCACGAGGAACTCCTCTGTATTTCTGAGTCTGGATTGAATAGATGAGACCCCTAACTAGGAGACTTAATTGGAGAAGGCCAAATAGAGTCAGAGTCAAAATCTTCTTGGTAGAGATATCTGGTGGGTTGGAGTGGAGAAACCTGAGAAAGGAAATCACAATTCTGTGTTCCCAGGCTAGTCTGCACTCAGTTATGGAAGGCTGAGTGGAATGATTTTTAAAAGTACCCCCTGCACTGACATCCTCAAATCCATCCATAAAAGCTAAAATTCCACCAGTAAATGAAAGCCAGAATCTGGGAGTCTAAAAACCTTTAAAATACAAAAATCAAACAAATAATCCGGTTTCCTTGTTTCTAATTCCCATTTCTTTCGGCATTTCCCAAAGTGTATTATGAAGAATATTAGCCAGAAAGATGATCTCTGGGAAGCAAGTGCTATTCTTTCTCAAGTTATGTTAGTAATGGTTCTTTAAGTGAAAGTCACAGAAACCAATCCATTGAGCAGAAATACCACACAGAGGAAGGTTATAAGGACATTTCATGGAACTATACAGCAGAAATGTGGCTGGACCTTAGGAAGGTAGTAGGACTAGTATACTACTAAAATTTACTTTCTCTTTGGTCTCTATTTTTCTCATAATACTTGCTAATTGTTCTTTCTCCTTGGATCCATTTTTTCCCCCTTTGCTGACTATAATGGTAGAAAATGGCTGCCAATTACTCCCAATTTTACATGTTTTAAGCATCATGAGTCTTGCTTTCTCTTGGTTTCAGAAAGCAGAATCTGATTGGCCCAACTGGGGTCAAGCAGATATTCTGTAATCACTTATACAATTACATAGGGAGTGTGAGAAAATGAGATAATTTAATAGAAACCTGAACACTGGGGGGACAGGTCCCATGAATTGGGGAAGGGTCAGTTCTAAGAACAAAGAAAGTAAGATATTTATGAGTTGAGTCAACCTTCCAAAATATTTCTACTATAACACCTTCCTCTGTTATGCAACATGAGTGCATACCTTATGTTTCCTGTTGAAATTCATATATACAAGAAATCTTAAGTCAAGAATCCTATTTAACTTTGCTCAATTCTGTGCTTTCTACATTCACTGGATCATGGAATTCATTTAGGAATATGATCATTAAGACTCCATGAAACATGGTTTAGGAAATGCTAACCTGGGGAATTGCATTTAAACTCCCAGTTCTTAGCAAGAAAATATACATTTTGTATTTGACTTTGCATTTCAGAAACCCAATTTTTGAGGAAACAGTTTGAAAGAAAGAAAATAATTGATATTCCAAGAATAGTTATTTGCTTTCTTAACAGTAGAACTTGTTAATGAAAGACTTGATGTGTGGTAACAGTACTGAAATTATATAACCCCAAACTGTCCTGGTAGTACAAGGGAATTCTTTTGTATTGATGTTCTGTATCTTCATTGTGGTGATTGTTATATGAATTGTGACATGTGACAAAACTGCATAAAATGACTATACACATGTTTACATACACATACACAAATGCCTGCATGTAACAACTGATAAAAATCTGAATAAGGTAGATAGCCTATTATACCAATATCAATTTCCTGGTTTTGATATTAAGCCATAGTTCTGTAAGGTGTTACAACTTGGAGAAACTGGGTGAAGCACACACAGGACCTCACTGTACTATTTTTGCTACTTCCTATAAGACTATGATTATTCCAAAATAAGAAGTTGAAAAAAGCCACTTGAAGGCTGTGAAAGAAAATGATTTCAATTTAAAGCCTGATATATAAGAGAATATTATAAAATTTCTATGTAATAAAAGGGTTCTAAAGTCAATAAAGCTTACCGATTGCATTTGCTCTGGCCCCTTAAAATTTGATGTTATATATCCCAAAGCCTTCGCTCTTTCTCGATAAAGTCGAATTGCTTGATCCATGGGAACTCTTAATTGGAACCAGTATTCTACCGTGCCAAAATTTGGGATGTCTCCTTTAGTTCCTACAAGTCAATACATAACCCACTGTTAAAACAGTCACATAAATGAAATATATATAAGTAAAAGATACTTCAATGGTGTTATGCATTAAAACTATAAATTTTATACAGTTCAATGATATGATTTGCACAAATGATGTATGATTGGCAAATAACAGATGAAGAAAAGAGTTACTTTTGGGGTATGGGTTTCATTGTATGTTAAATATTATTTAAAAACTATGTCAAATTATGATTTGGGATATATCATACCATTTCAATCCTTCTGAAATATAAAGAAAAATGTAAATATTGAATCAGATACTCCCCAGATTCTTTTTGATGCTATAGTACTTTTATTTAAACAAGTTGTACTCAATATAGCCTGACATTTGCAATATGCAACCTCAAAATTATAAATATGACATTTCAAATTTTAATTCAACTTTGGGAAATTCTTTGGCATTTTTCCATTTCTTTACTGTACCAAGTACTGGGGGAACAGTTGTATGATATTTGCCCTGCGTACTCTTGTTATTCCTCTGTGAAGACTTATCCTCTGTGGAGGTTCAACAGCTCTGTACTTCCTTCACAGACTTTGTATGTCCTCATTAGAGCACTGACGGCTCTGGCCTGTCTACTCACAACTGTATAGTCTGTACACCACAATGAAAGTTTCTTGAGGGCAAGGAATGTAGTTTTCACCAATATACTCCTACCGTAGGGACTAGCACATAATAGATACTCAATATTTGTCTAGTAGAGAATATTGTATACATAAACTTCTCTGAACACATCATGTTATTAAAACTCTACTCCTACCTCATAAATTTCTTTTATTCAACCATGATTTAACATCTAACATTATTTATAAAATGTAATAGAAGAATATCAATGCATACATATTTGGTTGCATATGCATAAAAAATCTTTGGTGAGGGGGTTCAGGGGTGTCTGGAGACAGGAGAGGATAAGATACCTACATCATTTTGACTTTTAAGTCATAAATATATTATCTATGTCATCAACCACTCAATCAGTAAAATAAAATCCCTTTCCATACACAAAATCAACACTGTTCCTTCTTAAAATGGTTTTTCTACTTGGCTTCTGGGATGCCATATACTTTCAGTTTTCCTCCTATACTACTGGTCACCCCTCAGTTTCCTTTTCAGGCTCTTTTAAAAAAAAGTTATTCTGATTTGTTATATATGATGGGAGAATGCTATTCATTTCATATTACACATATAGAGCACAATTTTTCAAGACACTGATTGTACACAAAGTATTTTCACACCATTCATGTCTTATACATGTACTTAGGGTAATGATATCCATCTCATGCCACCATCTTTCCTACCCCTATGCCTCCTCCCTTAACCTCCCTTCCCCTTTGCCCTATCTAAAATTCCTCCATTCCTCCTATGCTCCCTCCACCTCCATTGTGGATCAGCGTCCACATATCAGAGAAAACATTCAACATTTGGTTTTTGGAGATTGGCTTACTTCAGTTAGCATAATACTCTCCAACTCCGTCCATTTGCCTGCAAATGCCATGATTTTGTTCTCTTTTAATGCTGAGTAATATTCCATTGTATATCTATACCACAGTTTCGTTATCGATTCATCTACTGAAGGGCATCTAGGTTGGTTTCACAATTTAGCTATTGTGAATTGTGCTGCTATAAACATTGATGTGGCTGGGTCCCTGTAGTATGCTCTTTTTAAGTTCTTTGGGTATAAACCAAGGAGTGGGATAGTTGGGTCAAATGATGGTTCCATTCCCAGTTTTCCAAGGAATCTCTATACTGCTTTCCAGATTGGCTGCGACAATTTGCAGTCCCACCAGCAGTGTATGAGTGTGCCTTTTCCCCCACATCCTTGCCAACACTTATTGTTGTTTGTATTCATAACAGCTGCCATTCTGACTGGAGTGAGATGAAATCTTCGAGTAGTTTTGATTTGCATTTCTCTAATTGCTAGAGATGTTGAACATTTTTTCATGTTTGTTGATTGATTGTATATCCTCTTCCAAGAAGTGTCTGTTCAGTTCCTTGGCCCATTTATCTATTGGGTTGTTTTTTTGGTGTTAAGGTTTTTGAGTGCTTTATATATCCTTGAGATTAGTGTTCTACCTGATGTGCTTGTGGTAAAGATTTGCTCCCATTCTGTAGGCTCTCTATTCACCTTATTGTTTCTTTTGTTGAGAAGAAGCTTTTTAGTTTGAATCCACCCCCATTTATTGATTCTTGGTTTTAATTCTTGCGCTACAGGAGTTTTATTAAGAAATCTGGGGCCTAATCTGACATGATGGAGATTTGGGCCTACTTTTTCTTCCATCAGGTGCAAGGTCTCTGGTTTAATTCCTAGGTCCTTCAGGCTCTTCCTTTTCCTGTTTCTTAAATGTTGGAGTCCCATTTATCAACCCTAAACTCCTATGACCTATATTGCTCTAAAGTGTGCTCTGATTGGCTTTTTAATTTAATTTCACCTTTACTCCAGTTACAGGCCACCTTTCTGCCCCTACAACACGTCAGGTTTGTTCCTCTCTCAGATCTCTGGTTTTGCAATTTCCCCTGCCTGAAACATTCTTCCCCTGCATCCTGGCATGGAACTTCATTCAGGTCTTTATCAACATCACCCTCTTGAGGAAGCTTTCATCTCAAACTAGCAATCTTCCATCCCTCTGTTAGCTTCTTGCTCAAGTTATTTTTCATATCTGAATATAATTATTTATTTGTTTTATTGGCTATTTTCCTTGCTAGAAGGTTAGCTAAGCTATCTGAGAATACAAGTTTTGTCTGTCTTACTTATCACTGACCAGTATTCTTAGTATTTAGTAAGTGGTAACACAATGTTGTCAAAAAAAAAAAAAAAATTGATGAATGTACTGTAACTGTTTAATCAAACAAGGGTATCAATATGATAAACAAACATCTGAAGTAATAAGTTTTTAAACACTAAATAGCTATTTTACTGATGTCATCAATAATATTTAAGATATACTATGAATGTAGATAGAGAACCTTGTCCCTATCCAAAAGGCACCTTTAATGTATAAGATACTAATGTACAATAACAATAGATAACTCAAATTAGTGATCTAAACATTTGAAGCCTATAAACTGTACTTACCAACCAAACTTGCTGTGCAAAATATTCGACCGCTTTTTTCTAGAATTTCATGGAATCTCAATTGACATGCTGCAAGTGTTTCATAATCTGTGCTGTGAGCTTGGTGGACTTCAAGTGTGACAGTATTCTTCTGAATATAATGTAAAAATAAGTCGTTAACATGAACAAGATATTGAGAAGTGAAGTTATATTCTGGGTGAAGGCCTTGAACTATGGGAGTTGTCTGTAGTTCAAAATCATAGAAAGCATAGGTACAGAAAGTGACAGGCTCTTTATCTCCAGATGCCTGTAAAACTTCAGAAGAAAAGATTACTTTGTTGATGTGGATTTCAAATAGATTTTCGCCTCGTTCTAGGTGGATGGTTTCATCAAATTCATCGACAGAGTCATCTGGCATGATTTCTGGTTTAAATTTGTACTGTTTGGTGCCATAGGCAATATCCTTTAATTGGGCTACAAGAGAAGACACATAGTTTAGAGATTTTAAAATATTGACATATGAAAATGCAAACTTGTATTTGAAGCAGTCGGACGTTTGAGTGCTTTTAGTGGATAATCTCAATCTTAAATTCTATGACTATACCATTTTTCTTGTTTTGATACATCATTTGTTAAACAATAACAAATTATAACTTCAAAATACACACAAGTATAATTTGTCAACTTATAATACAAAGTTTTTAAAAATTACAACTTTAGTTGTAATATAGCCAAAGCCAGCAAAAGGAAAAAGAAAAGCAGGTTTCTGAATGAACAGCTGAGGTCACTATTTTGTTTCACCTGCTCCTCCACCTTTTCTTTGTCCATTACCTTCTCTCCTTAATTTCTCTTTTCTCAGGCTCCTTTCCTTTAGAGTGATAGGTTACATGTTTCTCCTGTGCGGGGTGAAGTGTATGTTTATTGTCTTCATTATAGTAATGGTTTCACAGTTGTACACACAAGCCCAAACTCACCAAAGTGTATACTTTAAATGTATCTTTTAAAGTACATTAACTATACTTCTTTAAAGCTATTTTTAAAAAGATATCTTTTTATTTACATTTTCCCCTACTGTTACACTCAAGTTTCTATAAAGAATAATGTATGTGCGTGTCTCCAACTACTCATGTAAACCACATTGCCTTACTTTTCCATAAAACTACGGCAGAAAATATCAGCAATAACCAATTAATTGCTAGACTCAATGGATACTGGACCCTGTACTATTTGTTTTCTTTGCTTCTATTGAGACTGATGAAACTATCCCTTCTGTGAACTTCTATCTTGGCTTCCATGTCATTATTTCCCCTGCCCTTCCATTTCTTTCTCTGATAGTTTTCTGGGGTTCTGCTTTCAATTCTCTTATTAGTCGACATATTCTCATGGGTCATCTCATTTACTTTTATGACTTTTGTTATAATCAGCATGCTGAAAGCTTCCATATTTCTATTTTTAACTCAGATTTCTTTCCTAAATTCCCGACCCATATATCTAATGTTTTACTTCACCCTCTATCTTATAGAATCCCGAAGGCACTTCAAATTCAGTATATCCAAAACAGAAGGTATCATACTGTTTTCTGGCTGTTTTTTTTTACTTTGAATCTCAAGAGGTTGGTGTTAACATTCATCCAGTTGCCCAGGTTAGACACCAGAGTCATCCTAGATTCCTTTTTTGGTTACTCTCACCATATCTTATAGGGTCACTACTATCCAACACTATTTCCTAAATCTTTATCAGATTTGTCCCTATTCTATCACCACTGTATCTATTTAATACCTTCAATTTACTATCTAGATTATTATGGAACTCAACATGTTTCCTTCCTTCATGTCTTACTCATTCTCCTAATACCAGGAGTATAATCTCCAAAATGCAATACTGAATATACTACTTTTACTTAGTGGTGAAGTCTAGTCTTTTGTGTGTGTGCATGTGTGTGGATTGTTTCTAAAGACTCCACACCTATTTTAGAGTTCCCCAAATCATTTTTCTTTGTGTGCTAGGGATTGAACACAGGACCTCATACATTCTAGGCAAAGCACCCTACCATCAAGCCACATCTCCAGTCCTTTTACCTGAACCTTGAGGTAGGAAGAGGCATTCTCTCATCAGTGTTTTCTTAATACCTGCTATGGTTTGAATGTGTTTCCCCAAGTTCATGTGTTGGAAACTTAATCCCCTATGCAACAGTGTCGAGAGGCAGAATCTTTAAGACGCAATTAGGCCATAGAGGCTCTACCTTCATGAACGGCTTCATGTCATAATCATGGGAGTGGGTTTGATATCATAAGAGTGGGTTTACTATAAAAGTGAGTTTGGTCTCTTCTTGCTTTCCCTTTGTGCATGTTCTTTTGCCCTTCTGCCTTCTGCTATGGCCCTTGACATGAAGGTCCCTCAAGGTGAACTTCCCAGCCTTACAACTGTGAGAAATAAATCTCTGGGTCTGGGGTTATAGCTCAGTGGTAGAACATGTGCTTAGCATTCACAAGACCCTCAGTTCAATCTTCAGCACCAAGAAAAAATACCCTTGAGGGTGGTGCCTCAATTTTTTTCCTATTTGTATTCTTTACTGGCTAGCACTTTGCTTAGGATGCATTAGAGACTTGATCATGTTTACTGAATAAGTCAATGAATTTAAGAGACATATAAAACATACTTGTAAAAGTTTGTTAAGTTTTGAAAAGAATGAAAATTCTTAACTCTGTGACCTCCCTTTTAACCAAGAAAGTTCCATTAAGCAAATTTTTATTGAGTACTACTTGGAAGAAAAGGTACACACTGCTCCTCGACTTTTGGAAAGCCTTGTTCAGTCAGATAAAGATATTTATTTTGCCCTTCTTCATAGATCAGAAGTTTTAAAAGTATGGTGTAGGCACCTCTGAGGGTCTCTAAAACTGTTTTAGGGGGTCGATGAGGACAAAACTAATTTCATACTACTACCAAGATGTTATTTGCCTTTTTCATTTTATTGTCTTACATGTGTATAATGAAGTTTCTCAAAGACTACATGATATGTGTTATTAAGACAGATTAAATGCAGAAACAGATGTAATAATCCAGCTGTTTTCTATTAAGTCAGATCCTAAAAAGATTTGCAAAACATTAAAAATTTTTAAAAATTAAAAATAATACTACTCTACTCATATATATATATATATATATATATATATATATATATATATTTTTTTTTTTTTTTTTTGGGTAAACAGAACTTTTAAAAATAAATACTAGGGCTGAAGTTGTGGCTCAGTGGCAGAGTGCTTGCCTGGCACGTGTGAGGCCCTGGATTTGATCCTCAGCACCACATAAAAAAATAAATAAAAATAAAGGTATTGTGTCCAACTACAACTTAAAAATAAATGTTCGAAAAAACAAATACTATAATTAATGTTAACATACAATAGGTTTATTATTATTTTAACATGAATTAGAAATATTTAAAAATTTTCTCGCTTGATTTTTAATATGATAAATATCAAAAAGTATATATTGTGAGAAAAAGGCCTCTATGATCATAAATAAGTTTAAGAGGGTAAAGTTACTGCTGGCACAGATGACTAAGTATTATACAGCAGTGGACATGAAAGAGTTGAGTACCCATCAGTGTAGAACTTATATGGTGGTTACAGTGAATATGCAAAACTCTAACAGCTGAGGAACACTTATATAATCCCTACACATATATTTTCTGAGTACCTGAGGGGAAAACTGGGGAGGTAAGTGCTGTGCTAGCCATATGAAGCCTCACACCGGCATCTGAATAGCTTGCAGTCATTTCTAACCATAAAGAATCATGGGCCCCCAAATCACTAGGGGTGGGACTCCATAAGCCACAATTTAGATGGGTTCCTCAGATTATTCTCATACTTGCTAAAGTTTGAAAATCACTGCAAGGACATTTTAGGTAGAGAGATGGTTAGGAGTAATCAGAGCCAGGTTCCTGACATGGGGGAGCACTGAGTTTGATTTTGAAGCACAGAAGGGTCTATGTTGAGGTCAAGGTGGAAAGAAGGTTTAGACAGAACAAACTGTAAGAACAAAAGCAGGATGCTGGAACTGAGCAAGATGAAGGAACCTAAGAGGAAGAAAGCCTATTTGGTGAGGAGTGTAAGTTGCTTAGAAGGGAAATAACAAACATGGTGTTAAATTTGAGCCTGTGGTACTTTATGAAGTACTCTGAAATCTTGCCTGCAACAATGAAGCAGTAGGGAATTACTAAAACTTCTTAAGCAGAAAAGAATCAGATGAAAGAGCTTTTCTGGTAACTTATTATTATAGCTATGAATTTGGAAAAATACAGCAAAAAGATACTGTGAGTGAAGATTTGGATGACATTTTCAGCCATTATAAGATCCATTCCTCTAGTTACTGTGTATACGGTACCTTCTAGTTTCTGGATGCGTGCAGCTCTGACATCAAGAAGATGAACATATTGTTCCACTTTAAGTTCATAATCTTGCTGCAAACTTTCCATCTTATGGGTCACTGCCTCAACTTCCATCTAAAAAACAAGAGCACATAAACTTCAATACTATAATTAGTTCCATTTTCATTTATCAAAGTTACTATGATTCAAGCATTTTCTAGATCCTGGGAATACCAGGTCCTATAAACTATGGTTTCCTGATCTCATATAGCTTACAGTTTAGAAAATTATACTTGGCAATGTTCACAAATAAGAAGTAAAGTAAATAAAACTCTGGATTCCTTTTTATGGAGATGAGTTTCTGTTTTATTAAAAGCTAACGTAAAGCCTGGCATGGTGGTGCTTGCCTGTAATCCTGGCTACTTGGAGGGCTGAGGCAGGAGGATCCCAAGTTTGAGGTTAGGGAGGGCAACTTATTGAGTCCCTGTTTATAAAAGAAAAGAAGAAAACAAACAAACAAACAAACATAAGGTGGTCCACTGCTACTATTAATTGCCCTAAACCAGGGACTTATTTGTTTTTAGACTATTTCTTTTTTTAAAATGTTTTATATTTTAGTTTTAGGTGGACACACAATCTTTTATTTTATTTTTATGTGGTGCTGAGGATCGAACCCAGTGCCTCATGCATTCTAGGTGAGCACTCTACCACTGAGCCACAACCCAGCCCCTGTTTTTAGACTATTTCTAACCACCTAGTCACAAGACTAAATTATAGGGATGTGGTAATATATAATAAGAGGTGGCAATAGATAATAGGGTATAATAGATGAATACATGATAACACATATGTTTAAGAAAAGTAAATCATCAGGAGAACAGCATAGAAAACCTACCCTCTTGATTTAGTACAGAGTGTACTACTTACCTGATAATCTTTGTTAATTTTATGCTGCATGATTAGCATGTTTCTTGTCTTTTCAAGTTCTTGCACTGTTTCTGCATGAGTTGCTTGCAGCTCTCTCATGGAGTGTTCCAGATCTTTATTAATTTTACTGTCTACTTTCTCTAAAAATGAAAGGTCTCCATTTTTTTGTTCTTTTTGAGCCTAAAACAAAAACATGTTTATTACTGAAGAATTTCTAAAATGTGACCGTGTGAATTAACGTAGATCAAGCAGGAAACAATCATTGAAAACATGTATTCAATTTTTTCCATTAGGAATACAGCAGTTCTAAAACATATTTGCATAGATATTTGGAACAATTTAAAAAATTAAAAAACAGTTTATTACCTCATGACATAAAAAAGAATCATTATTTATTTCTCTTTAATTAAAATGTACACTATGATCTAAAAAGGAAGTAAGTGTGTATTTTTGTGTCTTCTTGTGAGTATCAGTGTATCCCAGAACTAGAAAATTGTTATATTTACAATTCAGTATTTTACTTGAGATAACAGGGTGTAAACCAAGGCCTCTTAGGGCAGAAAATTGTTGATTAGTTTTTTTATTGTGAGATAGGCAAAAATAAAATGTTTAGCATAATTAAAGGAAGTGCTTTAAACACGAGTTTTTGATGTTTACTTTATTGTAATTTTGATGTCATTATGAAATATGCATTTGCTGCAACTAAATGTCATCTGAACACTTTCATGAGTCTTAGCAGATACACGTCCTGTGTGTGTGTGTGAAAAATGCAGTAAGTTTCAGAAGATGCAAAAATAATTCACTTTCCAAATGCAAGGGTTACAGATAAAGGTCATCAGTATATTGAAATAGTTTTATGTACATAAAACTCCAAGGGTGTAGTTCAGAAAGTTACCTTTATAAGCAGGAGAGCTTCACTCAGTTCATCAGCATTAATATCACTCTCCTGCAACAGATTAAGTAAAAGTTCACAATGAAATATTAATGGAAAGTTAAGAGAAATTCCAACTACTCAGTTTTTTTTTCTAATGGAATATAAGGTGTCTGTTACCATGACTTAATAAACTAAGTATCAGAGACAATCCAACTATTGAGAATATCCTCATAGAATATAAGCTTCCTGATACCATGAGTTAAAAAACCAAGTCATATGTTCATAATCTTTTGCTTTGAAATTATAGTATTTTTTTCTGTGCTAAAACATGTACATGTGATTTTTGAGTTTATTTCCTAAATAAGAAATAGTTCACCTGGTTGAAAAACTTCATGTGGTTTTTAAGTTCATCGAGTTGTTGCTTTTGTTCCAGACACTGTAACTGAAGTCCTCTATTCTCTTGAATGAGTTTTTCATTTTGGTCTTAAAAATAAAGTCAACACAATTAGAAAGGTAAGTGAGAATTAGGCCTAAGAACACATTTTAAATTAATTTAATTCCTGATAAGCCCTAAGCCTGATCTAGTATTGTTCAGGTCAAAGAGAAAATTGAGCTAGCACCTAAACAAAGGCAGCAGGGGAATAAGGAACAAACGAACACTATCATGTGTCTACCATATGATTCACTTGCTTATCAAAAACTTAAGTTCACAGTATTAATATAAGGAAATTGTGGCTTCTGGGACTTCAAAGGCAAGTTCTATTTAAAATGCCTAAGAATATATGTTTCTAAATCTATAATTTTTACTTACTTATTAAGGGTCCTGAAAGGCATGCAAAAATAAAAAAAAAAAAGTTTTGTCTATAGTTTTCTAATCCTCCTTTGAATTTTCTTTCCCCAACTCAGCATAAAGTTTTTGTATTACGACAATTTTTCTGATAAGCTCTGGATCCATAATTTAATCAACCATACTTCTAACCAATCTGTTCCAATAGGAGAAACAGATTCTCAACCAGCGCAAGATACTCAATAATGATTCGTATGTGTTCTTTATTCACTATGTTCATGCTATTAATTAATAGGACATGGATGTAGAGCTATTGTTAAGGGATGGATATAAGTTACTTTTGCCGAGGCACTCATTCGCAAGATTGTAAAGTAGAGCTACAGAATAGAGCGAATTCATAAAGACTATTTTTTTTTTACTCTGCATTAAATATGTTAAGCATTGTTTTAAAAAAGCACAACAGCTAGCAACAAATCCACTGCAGACTTGAGCTTCGTGCTTCTCAGTGCACTCTGCACTAGAGTTCACCCAGGCAGTTATCTTCCTTTGCTGACTCTCTGTGGACTAACTCTAAACCATGTCATCCAAAGTGTCTCCACTAATTTCATTCTGCTCTCAATGATTTATGTTTATCATAAGTTCTCAACTTAGGTTGTACATTTTTGTTTCCTTTCCTTAAGAAAAAAAAAAAAAAGAAAGAAAGAAATCAACACATTTGCCAAGAATTCTTTCCATGAATGCATTTGCATTCTGACTGCATTTTCTACAAAAATATGTTTCTGCCTTTTATAAGGCTTTGTGTTCTCAAGCTATAAATACTACATATAAGTAAAAATGTTAAGTTACACAGTTAAAAAGTAATAAACTGAATTTGGATGTTTTAAATATTTTCTGGCAGTCTCAGAAGTTACAAAAAATTACAACCTTAAGATACAAAGAGTTGCAGAGACAATTTAATCTCAAATATATAATAAGCACTTTTATCGCATTAATAGACGGTTAAAAGGTCATCCTATGGAATAAGTTACTTTTATACAGTAAACTAGCAGAATTTCCAAATATGAAAGATACTCGGAAATTTTGAAGATAAAGGTCCAACACCTGACATTTCAACTGAAAATTAGGATTAATAATAAATAAGAGTTCTTATGAGATAAACTAACTCTTTTGGTTAAGGAGTAGAATATGTTGATTAGGTTAAAACAACAACTAGATAGAATGATTAAGAAAAACAAAAACAAAAAACCAAAGTAAATACAGTCAGAAGTAAAAAGTAAAACCAAAAATACTGAGGATAATACAATTTTATTCTATGGTCAAAACAAGACACTTAGGGGTTCTAAAAATGAGCTATGGTATAAAGAACATGGTTGTTCCACCTTAATCTAGTCACAGTGTGAATTTTGATCATTATTTCTATGCTTCAATTTTTCTATCCTTTTAAATTTTCAGAGCAGAGTTCTTAAGAATGATATGTTAATGGGTATGAATAAACTTAAACGTTTCCATTCTTTACTCATTTCTGTTTCAACAACTATGTCTCCATTCACTGATATTTTTAAAACTGGGCATTATTAGTAGGAAAATAACTTAGTAGGAGACATTACTGAGTACCAGTAACCTTTTCTTTACTGAATTTATGTAGACTTATACATTATATTTTTCCTTTCTTAAACTGTTTATTGAGGATATAACTCTTGGATCTTTAAAAAGTACTGAAACGCCTACAGTTCAAAGAGGAAATAGACTTGCTGAATTATAATATGAAAAATCAAAGCACTCTGTACAAGATGAAAAATAACCTCCTTACCTTATGATTTGACAAAAAGCAGGTTAAGCTAAACAGCATTTTATTCAAATGAGATAACATTTCACTCTTTTAAACTTATGTTCTTCTAGCACACCATTAATAAGCAGAGTGCAGAGAACAATTCAACTAAACAATTTTCAGAGCTCCTTTGTGCTAATATCTTCAGCTGTGATCAATATAACCATATGCATTATGCTGAATTATGCATTTCAGCTAAAGATAGAAAGGAACTTTCAAAAGCAAGCCCTTAAACACATGCAGTTAATTTAAGCATTAACCAAATGCAAACTGCATTTACATATCCTTCCCCCGCATATTCGCACAATCTGAAACTAATTTGTACCTTGAATAAAGAGGTGAGTATTCTCTAAAAATAATTTGCCATTTAGATGAATGACTACAAGAAGCCAGGGAAACATCTTCTGGCAAAGAACACTTGCTACATGAAAAGGTAAATGTGTGAGGAGTGAGGAGAGCTCAAAGTAAAATTAACCAACTTCAAAATTTGTAACATAATAAAAAAACTTTCTCAATATTAAAATATTTTCTTAAATAGAAAATTTCATTTTTAAAATTTACTGTTTCCCTGGAAAAAAATGGTTAAAGGCTGCAACATTTTTCTTATAATTTATCGTAATATGTTTACAAAGAAACAAAAACTTAAATCCTCAGACCTGTGAATTTGAACTAGTCAAAGAAAAATAACTGGAAAATAACAGTTCTGAAAAATTTTCTTTAGGAAATAATCATTGGATAAAAGTATAAAGATTTGTGTAGAAAATGTTGCTTATTGAAAAATTAAGTTACTTAAATATTCATCAATAGAAGGTTGTTAAATGAGCTATGGTACATCCACACTGGAAAACTATCACAGTCATTATAAATGTGATTTAAATTTATAGTCAAGAAACAATTTTACCTTATATACAAAAGCACATTATAAAACTATACACATATAGAAATAACTCTGAAAAGACATACATCAAATATAGCACTGATTATCCTGAGGGCTAAGAAATTGGGTGATATTTTGGATTTTATTTTCTGGACTTTAATTCACAGTGTGCCTAAGTTATTTTCAGTATTCAAAAAAATTTCCCAGAGATATAAGAACCAGTTAGAGAGAGAGAGAGAGAGACAGAGAGAGAGAGAGAGAGAGAGAGAGAGAGAGAGAGAGAGAGAGAATGAATATGAGAATGGACTAAATGAATTAAAATACCTTTGCAATTATAATACTTAATAATTAAGAAGAACTCTCAGTATTAATTTAACAATAATAAACAGGTTAAAAAAAACACTGAGATTTTACTTCCTTTAGAAGACTTTCTTTCCAAAGATGAATTAAGATGTCTAAAACAACATAGTTTTGATATCTAAGGAAATACAGCAAAGGATAGAAATAAAAAAGGTTTATTTCATTTAAGAAAGAGCAATTTATCTGTTTTTGGAAAAGTGAGAGGGAATATAGAGCACTTCCTCTTCCTTCAGTGAACAAGAATTTATTGAGCAACTGCTAAGACAAAACACTGTTAGGTATCTGACACTGCACATTAAAACCAGGAACCATGTATCTTTGACATCAAAACTTTCTTCACCAGGTCAGAAGATAATGCTGCCATTTTATTCTACTCACAATCTCCCAGAAAATTTCACACAGAAATCTATCAACTGATTTAATCACTTGGTGAATAAATATTGACTGCTGTTTTTTTATTAGAATTCAGACCCTATTGATTATAAGATTTATTAAAACATGAAAAAAATCTGACTACAATTTTAAAATGCTATCACTTATAAGATGTATCCCAGTTTTATACATATAAAAATGTGAAAAATAATGTTCCTTTTATTCAATAAGATAATGGCATTGTGATCTAAATCAATGAGAGTACTAACTACAAATATAATATTTTTTACTGAGTTTATATTAAGCTTTTAAACATTCTCATGCAACTGAATTGCAAATGTTCCAAGGAAGCAACCTTATTATCACATTACTTGGTTTGTCTAGTAGATGAGCAAACAGATTACATCACTTGAATCAAATAATTCAGTTCCCCAATGGTGCATTTGCATGTACTATCTGTGTGTGTGTGTGTGTGTGTGTGTAATTCAGATGTCTTCTTTAATTATAATTACGTTACTTATATGAGACAAGAAAGGTAAGATTTGTACCTTATAACATCAAACCTATTAATGGTAATTATTTTGGCAGAGATTTTGATAAAGCTTCCTGGTATTTAAATTTACTGGCACAGAACAGAATAAGATGTCTCATTACCAGAGAGATTTTCCTGTTCAACCTACCAAAACCAACAAACAACTACTTCTGCCACTCTGTCATTTTACACCATTTTGTTTTTCCTCCCATTATATTTGATACCAACTGACATATTAGAAATTCATATAATTATTGTCAGTTTCTACCTCTTAAATTTAAGTTTCATGAGGGCAAGAACTATGATTTATTAATTGCTGTATCCTCAGAACTTGGAAGAGTACCTAGTATATACTGGTGCTCAATAAATACTTGTTGACTGTTGAAGAAAGGCTCAGGCTGGCCTCAGAGAATGGTCCCTGTGATCCCAGCAACTCAGAAGGCTAAGGCAGGAAGATCCCAAGTTTGAGGTCAGCCTCAGCAATTCAGTGAGACAGACCCTGTCTTAAAAATAAAATAAGACAAAATAAAATAAAAAGGGCTGTAGACGTAGTTCAGTGGTAAAGAGCCCCTGAGTTCAATCCTTATTACGAGAGGAGGAGGGGGGAAGGTCTCAGAATTTAGGAAAATTAAACAATTAAAGTAAACCTGAATAAAAGTAATTCTGAGAAAAAACAATTCCTTGGGCAAATATGCTAGCCTAAGTAAGGGAAATTTTGAGAAACAAATAAATTTACAAAAGTAGACGGCTGTTAATACAGGCTGCATCTCTAGTACGTATCAAGGCGACTGACTGGCAAACAGTTGACACCACAAGAAGTTATTGATCGACTGGATGAATAAACATTAGATGTCTGAAATGAGTATGTCAGTAGTTATTTTATATGTACCTCTTTCAGTTTTTAATCTGTCAAGGATTTCAGTTTTGTCTGTTAAATCAGATTTTAAGGCAGTCTCGAGCTGAGCAATCTGTACTTTCAACTGCTGTTCCTTTAACTTCCATTGCTCTTCATGGGCAGCACTGAAGGCACTGCAAAACACACGTGACATGCAAGGAAAGCTTGGAAATCAGCTTCAACCGAAAATAATAAAGAGAAAAGCTTTTAGTGGCACAGAGACCACTGTCATCATGTCTTAGGAATTAAGTAAACATATGCTGGTCTGCTGCTGTTGAAACCAAGGCGCCTTTCTCAGGCTGCGGTTAGGGAACATGAAAGAGTTTGTGGGATGAGTAAAGGAACTGGCCTTAATTTAGAGCTCTAAAGTCAGAAAAGTTGGCAGTGTGCAGCTTTTGTGGGACTAGTAAAGGAATTCAGATACTGTACATACTCCAGAGGAATCCACAATTCCAAACCTCAGCAATTGACAACGAACACAACCATACTCTCCCACTTACAAACCCTCTTAATACAGAGAAAAATGGACTTTCTACCTGGTCTTTAATTCTGTGAAACTTTTAAAATGTCTTGGATAATAACATCTTAACAAAATACTGACTACCAAATGATAGCATACTGAATCACAGGCAGTAATTCTGATCTTAAGAAGTAGTGATAATGTAGTTTTGTCCTAAAAAACAAAAAGCAATAGGCTAAGAATTAAAAACTGTACTTGTAACACATGAATGGAATGAAAACCAATGCCCTGGTCCTAATAAGAATGTTGAAGATAGAACTATTATTCCTCAATAAAAGTATAGCAGCTTTAATTATGATTACAATCTGCTAATGATCAAGGCCTAGCATATCAGAAGGAAGAAACAGATAAAAAGTAACTAAATGACACACAGAAGGTGTGCAGTGGTTCCTGAATCCTGGTCTAAACAATGGTGCTAGACTAGCTGTACCGACACTTAGATTAAAAAATGAAGATCCCAAGACTCAGGGACTCATATTTTTATAAAGCTCCCCAGGTGATAGCCAGGTTTTTGGAAACATTGATCTCAATTTGCATTTCATCAGAAAGCCATTATCTGTGAAGCTTGTTATGACTGAATAATCATCAGCAGCTTTGACCCTTCTACTTATTTTAAACATAGTAAATGAAATAAACATTTAAAAATCTAGTTTTCTACTGATGATGAAGTAAATAGAAAAGAAATGTATTATTTCAAGTTGCCCTTAATGCCACTCCCAGCAAGTCTTGAGGTTTTATTCCAAAAGGGATACTCTTCTGGAAGGCACAGCTTTCAAAAGAGTAAATTTTGTATTCATTTCACATTTTGAATACTTTTTATTGCAGTTAAAATGATATGACCTTGAAAACAAATGGAATTTTAGAAGTTCCTCTAAATATGACATCTGTTTCTTCTATGCTCTCATCTCACATATGGAAGCTTAAAAAAATTCATGAATCTGATATAATAACAATATTTTAAGTTAATTCTATCAAAGGTACAATTATATAGACACAAATGAGATCCAAACAAAATATATACTTTAAGTGCTAAATAAAGAATATTCCTTTACAAGTTCATTTTAAAATAAAGAACAAATATAATTTCTGTATCTAGCCAAATTATATATATACCAAACACACATATATGTGCATGAATGTTAGTACCTATATGTATGGGTGTGTAATACCTATATGTATGTGTGTATGTGTGTGTCTTGTATTATTAAAAACATGCACCACCTGGTGAAAAATTAGCATGATGAAACAGGCACAACTATACATTATATCAGATGCCAAAAATTAGAAACAGTAGTGTTCCAATAGCATTACTACCAGCAAAAAGATCACCAACAGCTAATCTGGCAAAAACATCAGAAGCTGTATGTGTTTAAATTAAGAACAATTTAGCAGCCTGGTTTTTCCAAACCCACAAAATGCTAGCGTAAATCAGCATAAGTCAATCTGAATTTAGTCCACTGCTATCTTCCCTCTAAATTTAGGATTACATTCCACTGGAGTTTCATGAGGAATTCCTTTTGAATTTACTGTACTCCTCTATGCTTGGAGCCATCTGTGTAACTATAAATGGTGAGCCACATCTGGCTCCATTTTCTTTGTGAGAGCTGTATACATGATTAAATCTGCATATAAGTACAGTCTTTGAGAAACTTTTATTCATGAAAATGTTTTTGTATATTGCCAATAGTGACAACTAAGGGAGGATGTTAGTTAGCATTTGTACCCATTTCACTGTTACATTATGTTACAAAGCGATAAAATGTCAGTCTGCAGTGGAGTGCCCCTGGTGCCTGTGGTCACTGGCATGTCCATTGGCAATCATGGGTTTCAGAATACTGTGAATATACACTCTTGATCAGAAACACGATAGCATCAAAATAAAAGCCAAAAAATTTCTCTCCATTCTCAGGTCTTGTCTTCTGATAGAAGAAATTCCATTTATTTTAATGTTCAAAGGCATCCTAATGTGAAAAATGAGTAAGAATAAACTATATCATCCATAAAGAAATCCATAGGTAGGAAAACTGCAGGGGACAGGTGCTCACTTTACAGAAACAGAACAAAGAAAGTCTATGGGTATCAGCAGTGATCTTTTAAATTCTGAACAGTAGATGACAATTACAACATAAAAACTTTATTTACCCTGTTCTGAAAAAGGTTACTATCATCTTTTAAACACTGATGAACACACTTTAAAAATAGGCATTAGATCAGTGTCTCCCAAAGAGTTAGTGCCTTAAAACCATCTTCAGATTTTTCTGGATCTAACCTCATACTGTCTGCTGGAATTTTGGATGGTGGTGGTTAGGGAGCTGTGTGTGTGTGTGTGTGTGTGCACGCACGTGCGCATGAGAGTGTGTGTGAGAGTGTGTGTGAGTGTGTGTGTGTGTAGAGGTTCTGAAAATGTGGTGAAAACTACATTTTCATGTTTTCCAGGTTATTTGTACACATTCTAGTTGAAGGATCACTGCATTCATTAGTTACATGGCCCCCAAACTATACTAACTTCAAAAATGAAACACAGCTTTACCATATTATAGTATAGAGTTTCTTTGGGACCAAATAGAAAGATTTAATTGCAAAAAAATTTATTCTGAACTTTTAAATTGAACATTTCTTAAAGTTCTTATTTCTTGGCTTCATATAAAAAATGTTTTAGCATATTAAGACAGACTCATACTGAATACTAACATGAGGGTTTTATCTTACCACATGATCCTCTACTATGTCATATGTCAAGTAATAAACACATTCAAAATTTCATTTGAGAAAGGAAGATGAGAATGCAATGTGCAAATCATATTTTTCTCCTGAATACTAGCCAATTTTGAATAACAAACAAATACTTTCCTTTTTAAAACATGCTATCATTATGACTAAGCAAACAAGGAGTATATGTAGTTTTTGACGAACATTAGCTGTTGGCAATGATGAATAGCAGTGCAATGAAACAAAAGAGCTGTAAAGAATCTTAAGGACAATGTTGATTTTTGTAGTTTTTCCAACTATGCTTCTGAAAACTAATTTTAAAAAATACTATCAAGAGAATTTTCTAGTTCTATTTACTATTACATGTACTTGTTGGGTTTTGTGTTAAAGTGACATTAATTTTTTTGACATTAAATGTTTTGACACTCATTACAAACATTTACTTACATACACCTCATATAAAATTCAAGTGTGAGCAGCATAATGAAGTCTGTTTTTAGTGTGACAGGAAAAAAATGTAACTCAAGCATAAAACATTAAGGAAAAAACCTTCAAAGCCAGATTTACACTCTTAGATCATCTTCTAATATGGAAAGATAAAATTTCATGGTGATTAAGTAAATATGAGAAAAATATGCCTTGTCAAAATTCCATTTTTGCATTATTCCCAGCTAAGTTTGATGTTTTTTATTCCAAGAAAGTATGTTTAGTAACTTCTCAAATTGAGGAGAAGTGGAAAATTTAGAAGTAATGGCCAAATGGCACTTATTTGCTTGTATTTAGACCATGTTAAATTATTTGAAACTACAAAATGTTCAAGATAAATATAAATCAATAAAAATTTCTGAGTGTCTGACAGTTATTTTATTTTATGAATGTTTTCCAATGGCATTAAAATCAGAGATATAGAGAAGCACAGGGTGGAAAAACTTTTATTTTCACCTAAAGTTCAGAGTTAAAAGAACTGGGTTTCGATCTCATACTAGAGTCTCAGAAATGCTGTGTAACTCTGCACAAGTCTTTTCATTTTTCTGGAGTCTTTTTTCCCTCATTTTTAAAACACAGGGTTGATATTATTTTTCTGCCATGTGCAATCTGCATTTTGACATGTGAAATTTTCAAACACATAATACATCAATATAAATATACATATTATTCTATAGAGATGGAAATAAAAACCAGGATGCATAACAAATTCTTTAGGTAAAATTAATCAGGGTTGATGAAAAAGGGATCAGAATAAAACCCTGGGACCAAGTGATCCCAAAGGCCAAGGCAAATCCCATGTAAAGATTTTTAGCTACTTTACCTTTCCTGGAGGGCCCTGAATATTATTTTAACTGGTGTCTTACTGTTGATAACCCTTAATATATTAAGCCACTGTACAAAGATAGTAAGCACTAATAGGTAAACCACATAAATGATATAAATCACTGGAATAATGTTTAACATCAACCTGGGTAACTTCAAAGTAAATCAAAATAAATGCCTATCTCTACATTCTTTGGGTATGATAATTTAAAAAAAATGTAAATTTGATTAATAAGATGTAAAACAGTTAAATACTTAAAGATGTATTTGTAGTTCAGATGGCTATTTTCAGAGGTTTCAGTGTATGAATGTCAGCTATAACATATCTATTTAAAGATGTCTGCTTTCATGTAAACTTGTATTTATCATTTATCAGTATCATATACTGAAACGATTTAAAAAATTGCACATACACACAGAGATATCAGTATCATTTAGCCAAACTTAGCTGTGGAGTAGAATTTTGTTTCTAACATTACCAGAAGGGATTAATTTCTAAAACACCATAATTATGAAGCAAATTAAAAACAAACATTGAAGCAGCCCCTTAAAGTCTGTCTTGAGCTAAGATGCTTGTGTTTCTCTTTTTAAAGAACAAAGATAATTTCAAGTGAACACCTTTATTTTCACCTAATACAATCATTCTTAGCTAATAACCTGGAGAGCCCAATGGCTTGTGTTCAAACAAAAACTCTAATTCTTCATACTTTTAAGATTATGAAATACCTTCAGAGTTTCTTAATTTCATTTTATGTTTCTTGTTTGCAAACTGGGCACATTCCAAGGTGTTATCAAGAATTTATAAAAATGAACGTAAAGTATTTAGCACAGTGTCTGTTAGCCTATAGCTTGTATTTAATAGATGACACTACTACTCAGGTTAAAAAACTTACAACCAATGCCTTAAAAAGCTTATTTTTCTTTTATGAAGTAAATGTATTTCCTGTTATCTGTTGTTGATCAATATTAGATATTCTGACAAGAAGTGTTTGATATAAAAGGGAATAAAAGAACAGATGGAATCACGATTTACCTGTTATAAAGTTTATCATAGTTTTCTTTTAAAAGTTCCCGTTCCTTTTCTAAATCATTTATTCTATCCTGCAGCTAAAATGAAAAGAAAATTCACATTAGGGGATTATCATATAAACCTACACTGGGGTAAAAAAACCATATGATAGGAGGATGTCTTGTTTCATTCTTGATTTCTAAATTGCAGCTGCTAACTTTACCACTTATACTGTCTGCATTTCATCCAGCATTGGTATTTTCCAAGTTGTTAAATAAACATGAAATTAATATTCCTGCTTTAATTTAGTAGAAAACGTATGCACTGCTTTATGGCAACATGTTCCAGAACTCAATAAAGAATGTGTTAAGAGCTTGCTGTTAAGTTCTGGGAAACAGAATATTTTTCACTTTCCACCATGATGAATTCCATCATTATATTCATTTTGTATTAATTTCCAATTGGCCCATAAAAAGTAAAATAATTAACTTTTACTTAAGTTTACTGTTCAAACAAATTATACCAATCACTATATTCTCTGAAGACACAGATTCTCACATTACCTAGAATTCACAAATAGCCAGTAGCATACCTTATGAATAAATGAATAAATAAATAAAATAATGAAATAACCTTGGAATAATTATATCTTTATCACTAAAATGAGGATTTCTGTCCTCTAGTGTTTCAAGGTTTATTCATAAGTGCATTTTGTAGTCACTACTTTTTCCCATGGATCAGAGCACTCTTAAAATTTATCTCCATTGTCAACATTCTCCTTTGAGGCTAGGAAGAGATAGTAAAAGAATCTTCCTAATTTAGAATAGAACGTAAGCATCTTATTTAATTTCCATTCTCCTTAGGAACAAGCTGTACAGGAAAAGATGGTGCTAGTTGGGAGACAAGAGTATCAACAATAAAAAAAAAAAAAGGTTTTCAAACAAATTTCTAGAATAAAAATTAGTTTCACAGAATTGCTGATTTTGTAGAACATAATATCATCTCCTCAGATATATTTTTATAGTTTGGTTTTGATATCTCAAATGACTAATGTCACAGTTGAGAAAATTAAGTTCCATAGGTAATTTGCAGTGTTTTCATTTTACTCAAGGATCTTTACTCCTTTGGGAAAACAGTGGATCTAAGCACATTTGCAAGTATTGTTAAACACTGATTTGCCACTCATATATTGTATTTTGCTGTGTTCAAAACACCATCCATGTTGTTTACAATCTAAAAATAAAAAAAAAATCTTTGGGATGTTTCTATTTTACATTTTCAAACCAACTACAGAGAAGTTTAAAAGCAACATATGGCTAAACTCTTTGGAAGTTTACCTCTTCTATTCTTCTTTCAGAAAATGTCATGGAATGTAATTGTTTCTCAAGACTGCAGCATTTTAAACGCTGCTCTTTGAGCTGCATATTTAGCTCATCTCCATTTGCCATCAAGGCATCATGGCTGATCCTGAGAGTTTTTTGCTTCTAAAAAACAAAAAGAATAATTTTTAAACATTATTTTTGGATTATGCTTTAAATAACTGATTACAATTCTGTAAGTGAATTTACTCTTGAAGTTCACATTATATAATTTATTCTTCACATCATAAACAATGTATGTGAGCTACTTACCCATAGAAGATGCTCTTAACCTAAGTGTGACGTGAGGAAGAAAATAAAAGGTTATCTTAGCATAGAGGCACATAATACATAATTGTTCCTGTCCTTTATTTGCTCCTAGTTTTTCAGTTGTTGAAAGTGACCAATAAGTAAATTGCTTTTAGCAATTAAAATGTTTTTTCTTTTTATTATAGTTACAGAGGTCAAAAATGCTGACCATTGATATTCAAAGGAAAGGATGTGCCACCACACTACATAAACAACCTTGGATAGATAGCTTTTAATTATAACAAAATTAAATTAAAATTTTCAGTTCTGTAAAATAGTTCAACTCTTCTTAATTTTTTAAAAAATGTTCCATTTATGAACATGATTTATATTCAGTTATGTATACTTAAATGTCACTTCTTTTATAAAAAGAGTCTTTTCATACTGCTGATTTTTTTTTTTTTTAGTTCATTTAAAAGAAACATGGTTACTGAGCTACTTCAGGTTTATTATCTTGATGTCATTAGGCAATACCATCTTTAACCAATAACTTCTGGGCTTTCTACATTGAAGCAGTTGTACTTAACCACTCAAATCTCCTCTATATCAATTACCCAAAAGAGATACATGTATCATAGCAGATACCTGTTATTATTGGTATATAAACAAATACTTGGGGTCACTGTTAAATAGAAATCAAAACAGTCAAAATGATAAGAGAAAATAAAATCATTTTCAAGTCCTTTTGCAATTCCCCACTTTAAAAACTGCTTTTGAACACATGTATTTTTCATTTTCCCCTTCTGTATATCTGCAGACAGCCAGCACTGTCATTCCTGCTCTCTAATTAGTATCTCTATTATAAACTCACACATTTATATAAAAGGTGATTATTCTTGGAATTTCAGGAGGTTCCTGTGGGATGGAAGACACTACTGAGTATGGTTGAGAAATATTTATCTATTTAATTCAATAGTTGAATTTAGGCTTCAGATGACCCTATGCTTTGCATCAATTTACTGCTTTCCTTGTTTCAGTACTTCAAAGAAAGTACTGCTTAATATAAATTCTGCTCATCTGGAATGTTTTGGAGTTCATTATTTCCAGAACCCAAGCTAATTATGCAGTGCCAATAGATAGGAGCTCTCTGATGCCACATTCCTGTGGGGCCATACTCACTGTTAAAACAACAATGGGGATGAAGAATCCTAGGAACTGTCACACTGAACTGTTGAGGTTTAAAATAAAAACACTGATTGATGACATTATGGGTACTTAACTATCTTCTGATAATGTTTATGATCAACCAAACTAAACCCACATCAAAGAAGCATTTAATAGAACATGGTGACTGATGTATTCATATCTCTGGTCTATATATTTCATAAATGTTTAGAATTATATGCAAATATAATGGTAGCTTCAGTGCTATGAGCCTAAATTGCATGGAGTTAAAAATAAATATTCATGGCATAAGATAATTTATGACAAATGTGTTTACTATTTTAAGATGACATAATATTTATAATAATCTAGGGAGTTATTTATTTATTTAGTAATTAAGTTACAAATAACAAAAAATATATGAACAGGAATTATACACATTTGAGAATAAAAAAGAATGATTTGTAAAAATCACTTTTTTATTATGACCATTTTACTTTTAAAAAATGCAACTTGAACACTATTTTTCGAACACTTTGCATCTATACATAATAATAAGGTAATTTTTCACAGTACCTCTTGAAGCTGAAGAAACTTTCCTTCCATTACTGAAAGAGCATTGCTTTTCTCCACTAGTTGTTTATGAAGCTTAATCATTTCTACATTGTCCCGAATATTTGACCTTCAAAATTGTGTTTAAGAAGTAAAAAAAAAAATAAAAATAAAAAACAAGTCAATAGGAGAAAAAGTAAGATAGAATCACATATTTTCAATTAATGTTACTTGGAAAATATTTATACTCTTACACATCAGTTACTGAAGTTTTTAGATTATTACAAATAAAAGACAAATTTATTACTTTAAAGCCACCAATAATCATTCTTGAACTTGCATAAACAAACTCTTAAGTTTGAAGGGATCCTCAAAATTTATGACAATGGCACCTTTATGAAAATTGATAATATTTGGGGCTGGGGTTGTGGCTCAGCGGTAGAACGCTCGCCCAGCACATGCGGGGCACTGGGTTCAATCCTCCACACCACATAAAAATAAAATAAAGGTACTGTTTCCAACCACAACTAAAATAAAATATTTAAAAAACTGATAATATGGATTTAAAATCATTTTAGAGTGTCCTGAAAGACGGTATGAAAGTACATTAGCTTTTAGCACAATAATGGTTCTACCACCAAACTTTGCATTTATTGTAGGGCTATCATGCTCCCTTTCCCTAAATGAAAAATATGCAATATGGCCATTCGTCTTCCTACCACTCCCTCAAAGCAAATAGTATCATAAGATTACCATTCATTGTAGTTTCCTCTTGGTGTTTAAACTTTGCAAAATATTTCCAAAAAAAGTGACTTAGCATTTTATACTAATAATGCCCAAAGCTGGCATTTAAATATGTTGCAGATGTGCCTTTAGCTGTAAGAGATTATTTGATGTCCACAGGGTATATAGAAACCCTATATGCTGCAATACTATTTTGTATTTTTCCTACTGAGATTAAAGCAAATGTAGAATTTAAGAGGAAGATCTTGTTAAAGGTTAATCATAGATCTAAATGAATACCTGTTTTTTCAAAAGACATGATTTTCCTGACAGAAAAAGGTTTCTTAATTTAATGTTTTACATTCAAAACATGTCTTAAATTGTGAAGCTTGATTTTAAGATTTCATTCTTTAAGAAAAATATATAATTTTTCAAATTCAGAGAATGATTTCAGTATCTAAAGTAAGCAATTTTACTTCCAAAACTTATCTAGTGTACACATATTGGAAAAATTGTCACAATGCCCTACTGGAACCAGAAAATGGACTACAAAGCTCACACATCTGTAAACCAGCTGAGGACTTGAAATACTTAATTTTCCTCTTTGATATTTGAAAGTTCATTGTATTTTGGCATTGGACAGTTAGTTGTCCTCACACAGAAGATAAACAAGTCCAAGAACCTGGATTTTGCCCAGGGTACAGTCTTAACACAATGTTAAAATAATTATGTGTCTTAAACATGTTATCTAGCAGTTATGAGCACATATTCAACAGTATGCTCATTGTTATTCCCTTCTATGTTACTTTTATTCACTAAAAAATATAATATGAAGAGAAAAATACATTTTGAATAAAGTACAAAAAAAATTCATACTCTTTCATATTTAGAAGATAAAATATAATTTACCCGTTTTCCCTAGACTTATTGTTTGAAAACTTAAAGGTGAGTGACATTTATTGATATGAAAGGAAAGAAATAATTTCAAATGATTGAAATAATTTTAAATGTTTTTTATATTTTCTGTTGTCTCTGATTTATTTTTAAAATTATTTTATTTTTCAGTGCTAGGGATTAAATCCAGGGCCTTGCATATGCTAGGCAAGGTCTCTGATATTTTGTTTTAAAGTAATATTTTCAAGAAGAATCAAATGTTTGAAAAATGACTACTGCTTACTGTTAGTAACAGCAATGAAATCTCAATAATCCATTCAGGCCGAAAAGTCATAAAAATACAGGTTTTAATCTTGAATTTTCTTTGTCAGACAAAGAAGAATAAGCATATTCTAGAAAATTTCAGTGATTCAATTGGGGAAAACTTTCTTGAATTCTCCCCTAAACTCCTTCAGGTTTAAACTTTTCAAAATATTAGCAAGAAAAGTAACAAAACATTTTATACTAATAATGTTCAACAGTAGACATAAATGCAACATAAACATAGAATACAACAATTATAATATGGCATTTTGAAGTCAGCTTGACTTAGAAAAAAACAGTATAATTATTATGGGACAATGCAAACTTTCAAGTCTTTAATAATTATATTTAAGTTTCAGTTTGAGGGGCTTTATATGCAATATTTATTGTTAAGGCTGTATGCTTTTCAAAGATAACAAGATGAAGAGAAGGGTAACTTGTTAAGCTAAAAAGTGTGGGATCAGAGAGAGACAGTACATATAAGTTAAAACCAGCAGTGTGATGAATATGGTGTGGCCTTGAAGGTACAATAAGGGCTGGGGATGTGGCTTAGTGGAAGAGTACTTGCCTAGCACATATGAGGCCCTGGATTTGATCCATATCACCATGCAAAAGAAAAAAGGCGGGGGGGAGAAAAGATACAATGAAATCACCTGAAACCTGACCACTGACTCAACATTTTTACATGGATGAAATATGGGGAAAGGATAAGGGTAGAAATGGCTGACAAAGAGGACAGATGTCACTAAGATGAAAAGGAGTGTCAGAAGGATGTTGGAGGCAAGAGGGAGCCAGAGAGTTAGTGCTAAGTGACTAGTCATAGACCTTGAGGCTGTGGGGCAAGGCCTCAGGTTGGTCTCATTTAAAGAGAAGCCGGGCTAATTTCAAGAGCCAGAATACAGCACCAGAGAATCCCAACATCAAGTATATACACAAGACGCTAATAAAACAAAACAGAACAAAACAAAACAAAACTGTGAATAAACTGCTGAGAGATAAGGAGAGGAGAGGGAGGAGAGCAGAGGGGAAGTGCTGGGGGCTGAATTAGAGCAAGTTATATTCCATGCTTTTGTGAATATGTCAAAATGTAGTCTAATGTTCTATTAAAATATTTTATATGACCTCCACATAATATCTTTCTGCTCTTTTCCACTCACTATGACAGGAACACCAAATCTCCCAAATGATGACATTCTAACAGAGAGACCAATACGTGGTAAAAACATTCAGATGAACTCTGACAGTCATGCTCCAATTTGTACATGCTACATTACACATGGTGAAATGATTTGCAAACAGATACCAAGCACATTAATTAAGTGCTTTGTAAAAATAAATTTCTCACATTTTTCAACAAGGATTTTGAAAAAAACAGAAACAATTAAGTTGGAAAATGCTGTTTCTTTTCCTTTTTCAGTTTTATGGACATATGATTTAGAATTATGATCAAATCTTTGAAAACTATGAGAAAAGTTGTTGGCCCATCTCTAGATTAAAAACAAACTGAAATAAATTAGATTTTATGTTGAAAAAAGTAATCCAGCTCAACAACCTGTGTGCCAAGTTTCTCTCATATAATTTGAAACAGTCAAGCAATAAACTCTGAAAAAGGAATTTCTAATGGAAGCCTTAAAAACACTTGACTCCAGCTTTGCTACTGGGTGCCATAATAAATCCAGAAACTTAAAACCTCAGATACACTGGAGAAGGAACAACTTTCAGTAGAGCTATGTAATGTATAGTCTAATATGAAAGCTTAAGAAGCAAAAATCTTTGTTCCAGTGAAAGTTTCATATATTTCATTCCCCAGGCACTCAACTCCCCTCCTCCACCCCCATGAACATTTCATTCTTTGCTACAGTAAGGATTTTGAAACCTAAAAAAAAGGTCTTCTTCTTCTTTTTTTTTTTTTTGAGACTAAAATATTATAGCATTTAACATCATTTAGAAGAGAAAGCTCTACAACACAGAGGCTTGGCTATGAGATTCTGAGAACTAATTACGTCAAATATTTTATGAGGTAGAATGCAGAGGATCTTTTTTAAAAAAAGTTTTAAGTTGTTGATAGACTTTTATTTTATTTATTTATATGTGGTACCAAGAATTGAACCCAGTGCCTCACATATGCCAGGCAAGTGCACTACCACTGAGCCCCAGCCCCAGCCCACAGAGGATCTTTTTAAGTAATTGATTTAGGCTGACCAAATCTGGGGAATAAAACTGAAAACAACCTTAGGGTTGAAAAAAAAAGTTTCCTTTTTTTTTTTTTTCTTTTTAAAACAAATCAGACTCCTGTTGAAAGAAATGTAGGCCATTCATAGTTCTTATTAGAGATACACAGGTAACAATTATTGTGTAGGGTACCACTTTTGAATTGAACTACAAAGAATGCTACTAAATGGAATGAATAAGATTCACTAAAATAGCCAAGGAAAAGTCTCTTTGAAAGGTAATGGTTTTGTTCAGAACTGCTACTTGAGATCATGGGGGAAAACAAGGATCTCTGATTTAAGGCAAATCCGGCTGCAAAGGTGTGTGGAAGCTGAATTAGGAGCATCCCAAGTGTGGGGCCAGCTTGGGCAACTTAGTGAGACCCTATCTCAAAATAAAAAGGGGTAGGGATGTAGCTCAGTGGCAGAGCATCTCTGGATTTGATTCCTAGTACTATGGTGGGTGGGGGAGGCGGAAAAACATTTCACTGAGGAAAAAAATTTGTGTATGTTTATTTACCTCTGGATCACAACTTCCTGTGATGTTGGGTCAAAGTACAAATCAGAACTTTCTTATTTTCACCACCACTGGAAATGGAGGCACAGTAGTAGAGCTCTCTATATGCATATAATCACATTCACATGAAAAAAGATGGGGCTGGTTGGGGACAGGAGTAACCCAAATCCTGGCTCATCTTCTTAAAAGAACCATGTTTAGGATTACGTTTAATGAATTTTTAACTATAGATTTTACAGTAATAGGAAGGGGAATCTGGGACTTTAGTCAATATTCCATAAACCCCAATGGGAAGTGTAGATTTGCTGGCAATTAAATTACAAAAGTGAACTAAAGGTTTTGTATTGTTTTTAGTTTTTGATACGATCATGCCAATCCTGGGCACTAACATAGGCTGTTTCACAATTATCAGAAGGAATAATTGATTTGATATAGGTCTTTGATGAATACCAAATGTAAATAATGATTAAATTAAGAAATACAGATTACTGAGTAGGCAAAATCGTTCAAAAGCACAAGTTCCCTAAGGAGATAACGACTGTTAATTACAGAGTAGGGAACCATTCACCCATTTCAATTTATTCATTTTATAGTTTGGGTAGTTAACTGATGCTCAGAGAAGTAAAATTTGGCCAGAGTCCTTAAGTTATGAAGCCACCACTCAAATTTAGTTTTAAGGGTTAAATTCTTCCCATTCTTTTAACTTGTTTCCTTCTTCTAAGGTGCTCTTAAGTGTAACTCTCCCTCCACTGTCATGTGTATGTTTATACACTAGATACGATTACTTGCAACGATTTCTGTGGTTTGTATAAAGTATTGGGAAAATATGTCAAGTGCTATCTAGAAAAATCTTAGATAATATTAATTTTAAGAAACATAGGAATAAAAGAAATTGTATGAGTGAAATAATTGTCACTGGACAAATTATAAACTATGCAAAATGATAGTGAGAGCTTAGTGAATATATTATTTTTAAAAACGATAGATCATCTCCCTGTGTTCTAATGTTTGCATGGTTATTCCTGGCCCCAGTTATCCCACCATCAGAAAATCCCACCATCAGAAAACCAGATGTGCCCTCTAAATTAGGGGGCTGGGCAATCAGGCAAATCCAAATTGAGGGGCATTCTGCAAACAACTGTCAATGGGCTGGAAAAAAAAGCAGGGAACATTCTAAAATAAAGGAAACCTAAATACCATGACAATTAAATACAACACATAGCCTCTGACTGAATCCGAGATCAAAACAAAACAAAACAAAACCCATTAATAAAAAAGTGCAGCAATAAATAGCATTATTGGAACAACTGGGGCAACTGTATCATTCATGGTTAAATGTTTAGAGTGTCTATAATGTAGGAGGATGTCCTTGTTCCTTGAAGATATGTGTACAGACAATGAAGAAACATAGGCACCTAATTATCAAATGGGAGAGGACGAAGGGAGGAATAGAAGAAAAAAAGGGGTGAGAGAGAGAGAGAGGTGCAGTGAAGGGGTGGAGGAGGGAGGGAGAGACGAGAGGAGAGAAAGAAGGGCTTGTGAGCAAGCCTGCATAATGTAGAGGCAGGCTGTGGCATATTCACAGATTGCTAAGAGGTGCAAGGTATGTGAATGCTCACTCTCTTATTTTCTCCACTTTTCTGTAGGTTTGCTGCTTTTCAAAATGATAATCTGGGGAGAAACTTAGAGTGCTAGGAGGTAATCCTGTATCTGTGCACAGGGGAAAAAGAGACAGCCCTTAAAGCCAAGATGTTTCTTATAACGCGCGGCTGCAAAAGGCCTCTCAATTCTAAGATTTGACAATCCGCTGTCTGCCAAAGAGAAGAGGGCAAGTCAGAGTGTCTGAAGTATATATGGGTTAAATTTCCTCCACTGAGACATTATGGCACTTACATGATTTTTAATTAAGAAGGTAAACACCCTAACATTTATTTAAAAAAAAACAACAACAACACTTAGCACACTTGTTAAGAGTATACATATTTTTGGAGTTGAAAAAGTCAATAAAAGGTAAAATCATTCTGATTTTAATGTTCATGTACATATGTTCATTGGTTACAGCTTTGCATTTAATTTAAGACAGCTTTTTTAATAAGCAGAAAATGTGCATTTTTATATTGTTTAAATTTTAATATGGATTTTTGTTCAAAACAACACAGACATTCAGGCTACTTGTAAATGATACAAGATTTTTTGCTAATGAGGCATTATGTAGAACATATGCAAAAATCACAACTCAGTCTTCCAAAATAGACCACAACAACAGGAAAAAACATGATTTTAATAAAAAGGAGCAGCACTGGGCTTTTACTTCAAAGCAATTAAGGGCTTTGGATAACCAAAAGTTTATGTCAAGCTGATGCCAAACCAAACTGGTCTATTAAACACATACTATGAAGAGTTTCTGTAATATTCTATGAAAAGGCTCTCTGCCATAAATATCAAGCACTGCCATTCTGAAGATTACAACTATGTTAGGTTCATGTTTGAGAACAAGGGGTCCAACATCCAGATCAGACTTCTAGAATTTCAAATCTGAAATAATGTATCCGTGAAAGAGAAGTTTAAATATGTTTTCCATTTTGTGATTTTTCTCTACAGTAAATTATACCAAGTTTTATACTCTCCCTAAATTTTTTTCAACAGTTTTCCATTAGTCTCAAAAAATTGCTGTTATACATAAAATTTTGAGCTGTGTGTAAACATATTTTTTTAAAATAGCCTTGAAAGTTCTTATTTTAACTTATTTCTTCAGTTTCAAAAATATTTCAAGAAACGATATGCTACTCACTATAGATACTCTTCCTTCTAAGGAAATGACATGTAAATTTTCACTTTTATAAATTCAGTAAGTTAGGGTAAAAACTGATTTATTTCCCTGACCTCTGCAACAAAAGTTCCTTGGCCTGTAATACCAATTTTGTTTCCACTTATAATTCTTGGTATCACAGAAAAGACTGCTTATTTTGTTTATATGGATAACATAGGCCCCTGAGGAAGCCCTTCTTTTGTTTTTTAAGGTTAGCTCCTCTATAAGTACATGTTGGTACTCTTACTGCCAATATTTATAGTAGAAAAGCATGTGTCCTTGTCTATCACTCTCTTTCTGCTGCTGCTCTGACCCAGGATTGAAGGACTTTTGGATCTCCTTTTCAATTAACACTGAAAGTCTAGCTCTGATGATCATATCCATCTGGAAAAAGGATCAGTTAACATAGTCCATCTGACTGTCTGGGAATATGAGAAAAATAACAAGGAAGGTACTCCCTGATAACCTTGCAATAATGGTTGAATATAGCAGATAGGGATGGGCCCCAAGCTTGAGCTTGGCTTATGTGAACTTTTGTATTTAGATAATGTCTGAATTATGGCTGTTAGCAATCACATTAAGATCATTACATTCAGTGAAGGGGTCTTGTCCTCTCTGGCACTGTACCTTATAAGGAACCATTTCTTGGTTTTTCCAAGAAGGTTGAATCTAAATTAGTTCCTCTTCCCAGGGAAACATGGGTCACACCTAGACAGTCATGATTTAAAGTCAGGGTTCAATTAAATTTTAATTAGACATGTTTACTTATAATGTAAACATGTCTAATTAAAATTTAAATATGTTTACATTTAAATATAATTCTCAAAATATAATTAAATATAATTCTCAAAAATATTCATGTTTCTTTTGCTGTGCATTTAGGAGGGTATATAATGTTATTAGTTATTAGGCTTTCTTATATAATCCAGTTTTACACATAAATATTAGAGGTTATGCTACTCTTCTAACTTTTCTTTCTTTTTTTGGTTCTGGGGATTTAACCCAGGGATGCTTTACCACTAAGTCATATCCCCACCCTTTTCTATTTTTTATTTTGAGACAAGGGTTGACTAAGTTGCTCAGGGCCTTACTAAGTTCTGAGGCTGGCCTTGAATGCAGGATCCCTCTGCTTCAGATTCTCAAGGAGCTGAGATTATAGGATGTGCCACTGTGCCCAATTAAATCTTTTTTTTTTAATTTAATTTTTTTTAGTTGTAGTTGAACATAACATCTTTATTTTATTTATTTATGTTTATGTGGTGCTGAGGATCAAACCCAGGGCCTCGCACATTCGAGATGAGCGCTCTACCGCTGAGCCATAACCCTAGCCCATAAATCTTTTAAGTATAAAGCTTTTGATATATGTTTTAGCTCACTTTACATTTTTAAACAAGTTTGATGATATGCTTCTTTTCTTAGCTTCTTCATATGCTACCATGTAAGGTTAGTTTGTTAAAAGAGGGTAAACACTGAATGTGAAACGAAACACTAGGAAATCTTTCTTTGTTTTTCTAAATAAGAATCCAGCCACATATGCATAACATCAGACACATTGGAAAGGGGGAAAGAAAAGTGGAACTCTGTCTGGTTTAAGAAAAAATGAGATTAATGAAATACAAAAGAGATATAGCAACTAAATCCAAGGTGTAGACCTTATTTGGATTCCAATTCAAATGAACAGTAGAAAGACATCTTTAGGAATGTTTGAATATAAACTGGTTATTAGATTATATGAAAGAATGGCAATTAATTTTGTCAGGTGTGACAGTGGCATGGTGATTATGTTTTAAAAAATTCCCTATCAGAAAGAGATACATACGAAAGTATCTGAGTGACATATCTGGCTGAGGCTAATTAACTGAGGACAATAAAGGTGAAGGGGTTTATGTAATAAGATGGGTAACATGTTAATAATTGTTAAAGCCGAGTGATAGATGATTCAATATGCTACAATCTCTGATTTGGGGTATGCTTAGTCAAAACAATAAAAAATTAAAGGAAAAAAAAAAGCCATAAAGGGAGAAAGATAATTCAAGAAAGAATGCGGTAAAAGGATAAAGTCTTGTTGAAAGCACAATGTCCAAGCATAAACACTATACTTTATAAAATGTCCAAAATGCAGTGGTGGCAATGCCTTTAGGGCAACTACTGATGGGTCCCATCATCCTCCACAATAATCAACAGATCAACGCCAACTTTGGATTTGAGGAGAGGTAACATCTTTGAGATCATCAACTGTAACCGTATTATCGAATTTACTACCTTTTAAGGTTGAAAAAAATCTTAAATGTGCTAGACTTGTATATAAGGTAAATCAACAGATAAAATCTTATACCCCTTACTTCTTTCAGTAGCTACAATGAAATGACATTAACTTCCTGCGATTTTAGCAAAGGAAGCAAATAAACAGAGAACATATGACGAGGGCAGTTTCCACCAATCAGAACCTGTAAGGGGGCAGGTTAGGGAAAATAGCCCTTACATGAGAGTTGTTGATAGTAGTTAGTAGGTCTAAAGTAGGCCTATAGGAATAATGTTAAGTAAAAAATGATTTTTAAATATCTAGATAAATGTATCCTTTTACAGACATGATAAATTATTTTAAACTAATTCTGACCTTATCAAAATGGTATTTCTATTTTAACATACCTTTGATCTGTAGCTTGCTGCTCACGAAGCTGAAGAAGAGATAACTCAATTTCATTTTCTTTCCTCCTCAACTGAGTTTTCAGGATCTCAGCCAAATGCTCTAACTCTTCTATCTGGCCTCTTTGTGACTGAATAACATTTTCTCTGAAAGAAAAAGCCTTCTAAGAATCTGTAGTTGAGGAAAATTTGTAGTATTTAAGATAAGTGCAAAGATATTTCTTCATAATAAAGAGCAAGCAAAAGTTAAAAAGTTTAGCTTAATTGCCTCTGCACACAGTGAAATAGTAGCAGATTGAATGTGATGATTTGGAAATACATATGGAACAATTCAAGATATTGCTTTTTAATAAGATAATAACGCAATGGATTGGACTTTGGTTTAATTCAATTCTATTGATCACCTGTTGTGTACTCTACAATCCGGTCTTCAGATAATTAATGTGCCTTTCTTCTTTCATATATACACATCTGCCTATATCACCCAAATTAACACTTCAGAGAGGATGGCGGGAAATTTGCCAAACATAACTTAGTGGTCTCTGGCATGCATTTATCTTTTTCTTCTGTGTCTGACGGTATCCCAGTGCAATGAGCCTCAGGAAATTGGTACGAACTCTGATTTCTCAGCTGATTATCAGGTAATAAATTATGTCAAATCTTTTATTTTCACACAGGCTAATCATTACTATAACTGATATTTAAAATATTCAAAAGGAAACATTTTAAGCCCATATTATTGTTAAGCAACTGTCTAAACTATCTACTTTTTGTGTCATGTTCTCTTTCCTCATTTAGTGTTGTTTTGCTTTCATGATAATTCAGGTGAAAGTCTATAGGTAAACTAGAACCTTATCTTCATTTGGTTAACTCAAAGACACTGAAACCATGAGGCTTTGATTAACTGGGAAAGAAACCTAAATGTTGCAGAAGTAACTTTTTTGAAACCATGATATGAAGAAGAATGCAATACCATAGAATCATAGGGAAACAATATCTGAAATCCATATGTATCTGATAAGTTCAGACTTTTAAGCCACTCCTCCCAATTCCTTTTTATTTATTTTTTTAAACCACAAAAAGGGCTGATTCAGGATCTAAAAAAAAAAAAAAAGAAAAAAGTTACCTGTGATTTTCTGGGAATGAAAATGTTGCCTCTAAAGTTTATACTACTCTAAATGATTGGATGCCATGCCATTCCTTTGGGGGTAAAATTAGAATAAAGAAGACTATTTTATAAACCCTTTCATTGATGTAGTGGATAAGTTATTCATTTCCCTTATTTTACTGAAAACATGTCATGTAATACCTGTTATTACCCCTCAGAACTAGCTGTATTTTAGTGAAGCAAATTATTTAGACATACCCCATTTTTGTTTACAATAAAGGAAAGGAAGGGATCAAAATAAGACATGATCAATAAACAAAGTTCTAAAATAACCATGAAAAAGAATACATACAAATTTCTTATTTCTCCTCTGGCTTCTTCAAGTAAACTATTGCCATATTTTGTAAGCACAGGTTGTACAGTTTCTGCTACATCTACATCTTGGAGTCTTATACCTAAAAATATAGGAATAAAATATGATTATAGAAGGGAAGTTTAAAATCTCCTTTATTTGCTATCATAAGGATATTTATAATATAATAAAATCTCTTGTTAAGTATTAAGACATATGTGCTCCATTGTATAGAGAATTAGAAATACAATGCCAAAGGGAATATTAGATCTCACCTGCAGTAGGTATTAAATAAAATACAGCAGCAACTGTTGCCCATTTAACAAATAATACTATGAAAACCAAATTACTTAGGAATAATTTGATTTAGAACTCCTGCAGTAATTTCTGAAAAAAATTTCTAGTCTTTATAATGTAAACTAAAATTTGAAGGAAAAAGTTTTCAAAAACTTAACTTTTTTAGTGTTAATGATTTTAATTTTTAAATCATTCCAATTTGTTGACCCTAAGTCAGCATGTTGCCTATACTTTGTTATTCTACCTAAATAAGAAAATTCATATTTTAGGAAAGATGATTTGAGACTATATTGATAGTATTTCTTTAAATAAGACATTTCCCTCTTGCATTTAAATTACAATTTTAAAAATTATAACTTAATAAAAATAGTTATATATGCTGGCTCAGCTACTTGGGGGGCTGAGGCAGGAGGATCATTTGACACTGGGAGTTCAAGGCCAGCCTGGGCAACACGAGTGAGACCCTGTTTCTTAAAAAGTTATATGCAATTTTACAAGGATATTCCCATTATTAAAAATGAGACATACTATCAGTTATATTAATTACTTTACATTTATGAAATAATTAAACTATTAAAGTTTAAGGTAAAGGATGACAAATGATAGAGATTTTTAAATTGAGCATAGTCCCAGATATAAAACTCTTTTCTTTAGAAAAGTTTACTTTCAAAAAAAGTGAATGTTATTTTATTATTTAAATTGATAGATAAAATTGTATTTGCCATCTGCATGATGTTTTGATGTACATACATATTGTTATAAATTAGAACTGTAATTAGAATAATAAAACTATTTCTTGCTCTTTCCAATATGTTCAATATCTATTGCTGTACTAGCTTAAAGAATAAAAAAGGTGGAGCTGGGGTTGTGGCTCAGTGGTGGAATGCTTGCCTAGCATGTATGAGGCACTGGGTTCAATTCTCAGCACCCCATATAAATAAATGAAAAAAATAAAGGCCCATATGTCTCAAAAAAATAATTAAAAAAAAAAGAATAGAAAAGGCTCTGCCTAACACATTCAAATATTTTAGTATGATGGAATTTGCCAGTTAAATTATTTTGGCAATAATGCTAATTTTTAAGCTTTTCCTACATCAATCAAGGGAAAATTCAACATTACCAGCATGGTTTAAAAAAATACTCAAAATATATCTTAAAATTAACAGTTTCATGGTGATTTGCTAATAGTTATATTTTAAAACACATAAACTTTACAAATTTTTGTTCCACTCATTGTTCACAACAAGAATTGTGTTTGCATAGTATCAACCACAATCAAGCCAGTGTTTTTCATCCATTATCCCAAAGCACAAATAGAAAATGACAGTTATTTGTACAGCAGTTTGAGGGTAAAGGCTTCCCATGGCTAGAGAGTGTTTGGGTTCTGGTCTAGTCCCTGAAGGTTGAGATATTCCTGACAAGTCTGGCCTTAATCCCAGCCTCAGAGGCAGTCCTCAAAGGCAGAGCTGAGGTATCAACTTTGGTAATGATGCCCTAGCTTTACTCAGAAAAATAGTGATTAAGAAAGTATTCATCACTAATGTTTTGTGCAACTTCCATGTTCTGGACTCTATGTTTAGTAAAAAAAAGGTCTGGGTCATTAAGACTGTACAATCATAAAGAGAAATTTAAGCTTTGTAGTCAAACTTCCATGAATGTTTTTGTTTTTTGGCAGTGTCCAGCAAATGCTCCACCATTGAGCTACATCCCAAGCCCCTCTATTAATTGATCTCTTCTATTTAAATAATAATTCATATACTAGATCAGCTTGTCATTTTAGTCTAAAAAGTATTTTTATTTGATATGTAAAGAAAACTAAATTTCAGACATTATTTTTATTTCGTATAAAAGACCTCGCAGACCAAAGATATCATCTTGACCACTTATATTCTGACTAAATTAGAGAATAAGTGACTTTTTAAAGTTAAAATAATTTATTGTAGACCTACAAAAGCTTCACCTCTTATCTAATCTGGTATTATTTTCATTCCGTTTTATAGATGGGAAAAATGAGGCTGGAGGTCAGCTGTTCTCTTCCACATAAAAAAAGGTAATTAATGACAGTATGTATTTTCTGATTTATAATTCATAATGCTTACTTTGGTTATATTCAAAGTTGACCTCAATCTCACATAGCTAGGAACAGCCAGCCCCTTTCATCCTGCAGCTGCCTCCTGCCTGTGTGATGGCCTTACTGACTTCAAAGGAACTCTATCTATGGAACAGATAGTGTTAACATTTTGGTTTGGAGAGAAAGCTACAACAAATTTTTCTCCCCTTATGTTCATATGTTTTTTTCCTTCCTCAATGAATTGAAAGTACAGTTTTGCATGATTTTTAAATTCCTGAAGGTGTTTGATCTTTATGTGAAGCATATTCCAAACAAAAATCAATTATCTCCTTCTCCAGTAGATGAAATTTTAAAAAGTTACTTAAGGGCTGAGGATGTAATTCAATGGTAGAATGCTTGCCTAGCATGTGAAAAGCCCTAGATTCAATCCCTAGTACCACCAAAAAAAAAAAAAAAAAGTTTATTTATTTTTAGTTCTGTTATAATAAGGTTTGTCTGTGGATAGAGAATTGGGAATTTTTATTAGAAATATTTAAATTTATACTGAGTCCTATCATGGCAATTCAATTGCTTTTAACATGGGTAAATTTTAGGTTATTCATTTTTAAAATGAAGAAAACAATTGACCTGTGATTATTTTTACAGATGGAAAAGACTTTTATAAAGGTCACTTGGGGATTTTTTGGGAAGTATTGGGAATTGAACCTACAGCTCATCCATGTTAGGCAAGCACTCTACCACTAAGCTATATCCCCAGCCCACTTCAATACTTCTTATTTTATATGTAAAGAAAACTCAAGTTTATAATGATTAGGAGAATTTTTTAAGGGGATCAGCTAAGTGGAGGAGAAAGAACCCAACTTTTTAAATTCTTAGTTATACACATAGTCCACTGTCACACTGCTTCCACAAAACAAGAAAGATTTCAATACTTCTTGGTACTGGGTACTGAATCCAGGATGCCCTATCACTGAGCTGCAGCCCTAGAATTTTAATTTTTTTCTTTTTAGGCAGGGTCTGGCTAGGCTGACCTCAAACTTGGAATCCTTCTGCTTCAGCCTTCTGAGTAGCTGGGATTACAGGTGTGTACTCACCACACTTGGCCACTTTTGAAAATTTTATAAAAGGTTTTGGATGAAAAAGTTTAATGTGATCATTCAAAAAAATGTGGCCACATATAAGCAAACTAGCTGATTTCCCCCACTTGTCTGAGTTAATGTGATTTCTATTTTTTTTTAATATTTTATTTTTTAGTTGTAGTTGGACACAATACCTTTATTTATTTATTTATTTTTATGTGGTGCTGAGGATCGAATCCAGGGCCTTGTATATGCTAGATGAGCGCTCAACCACTGAGCCACAACCCCAGCCGGATTTCTATTCTTAATATAAAAAATCAACTAAAAAGAACCAACTCTTAAATAAAATGATCTTCATGACAATATTATGATTTTATCAAAGAGCAAGCTTAAAACTAATTTTCTATCTCTTTTGATACTTAAAACATGTAAAATATAGAAATAAAACTTTTTGTGTCTGTATGAAAAAATCTATTATAGGACTTAAATTTAGGGTTTGCTGAAAGTCTCCATTTACCTTTCCTGGAGCACTCCTGTAAGCCTGCATTTTCGTTTGCTTTTCTACGCCCAGTGTTAATACGAGACTGTACATAATTGTATGGCCTGTAACCTTGGATTTGAAGGTGCTGTTTGGCTGAAATTAGTCTGTTTTTGAGGACTTCATTTTGTCTTTCAAGCTCATGAACTTTCTCTTGCAGCTGCTCAATCATTTCTTCCATCTCCACATCTCGTCCCAGCCGCTTGGGGCCGCCACCAACCCGCTCATATCTTTTCTTGTCATTAACTAGCCGTATTAACTTGGTGGCCATTCTAGGGAAATAATAAAAAGATGAAAAGGAATGTGAGAAGTCAGCATAAAATGCATTCTGTTGAAAGGAACATAATCACTGTGAAGACTTCAGTGCAGAACCTGAATAATAAATTTCAGGTTTTGATGTAACTATTACTGCCTGTGAAGAATCCTTTGATGATAATTGAAACCACTGGGCAACAATCTGCTTTATAGCACTGACAAATAACAGTTTCCTAAGGCTTATCATTTAAGGTTAGTAAAGAGAGGACACATATTTACTCCATATGTTCCTGAAATGCAATTTTTAACGCATGACCTTATATAGGAATGCTGTATGCACTTAAGTGTAGTTACAGATTGTGGATATGGTGGGTTATATCTGCAATCCACAGTAAGTTAAAACTTTTGAAAAGTGTGTTAAGACTATGCAACATTTTGGTAATATACTGTTTTCAGTTTCTATAGGATTAAGATATATTATAAATATAAAAATGTTAGAATGCATAGATGCACACATATAAAGCTCAATGAAAATTTCAAAAGAAACCAAAATGCACCATTAAATCTTGCTTAGTCCTCAAGAAACACGTGAGTTTAATGGTAGAAAATAGTGAGATGTAAAAAGTATCATTTTAATGCCACTTTTAAATTTAGAATTAAATTGTACTTTGACATCTCAGGAGTTTATACCTTTGATTCTTTTAAGTTTTGATAAAAACTGGTTAGACAGAACAAAAGACAGAAAGGGCACATGGGGGTGATGTAATATACACGTACGGAAAACATGCCTGACAGTGAATGGAAAAATCTTGGCAGGACAAGAAAGAAAAGGTGGCTTTGATGAGACACACAAGTTCAAGACTTTACAAAATTGGTCGCACATCTTCAATAGCTGATTCTAGTTTATAGTGAATCTATTTTTATAAAGGCCCAGACAGGAGATTGAAAATAAAAACACACTTCATTTTTCTTTAAATGGGGTTTGCTTTATTTTAGCATGGTTATGGACAGAAGCTTTTACTTAAGAGAACAAAAGTGAAATAAAAAAATCCTTAATAGCTTTGGGATGTCACAGAACAACCTTTTTTTTGCCCTAAGCAGAGTCCTCTGTAAATCGGTAGTAATACATGTCTATCTACACTTCTGGTTACTAGGCCTGCAGCATGTGGCATCAGGGAGAGCTATGCATAACATAATCAGTTAAGATTGTTTTCTTTTTTCCCTTGAGGCACATCCATTAAGCATGCTTTATAAGGGATATAGGATAATAAAAACCAAGATCCAAGAGTACCACAAACATCCTAGTAAAATAATCAATGGATTAGTTCCTTTTCCACCTAATCCAGAGAATGATATATCATTGGAAAATCTGGCCAGGTATTCTAGTCTAACAAAGCCACCTTCTATCTTGCCCTTTAATATTACAGTTCAGGGTTCTGAGCTCCACCCAATGTCCTATCCATAAAAATAAGGTAGTTATCCAAATGAGATGTCAATCTAAATCCTTGAGTCTACTGTAACGCAGATTGTTACACAGAGATACAGATTATGGTCAAAAGAAGAGATCAGATTTAACATGAAAAAGCACTCAATATCCAAAGAAATGACCTTAATTTTTAAGGCAAGAGAAGCACATCAAAAGTGTCTTTCCATTTTTTATGCTGACCTTCAAGCAAACTTTATTAGGAAGCATAATTTTTTGTGTGTCCAGTAATAGAAATACTTTCCATGTGATTTGATTATTTTACGACATTGATGAATCTTAAGTAATCTGGTAAAGTTCGAGTACTTATTTAAAAAGGTGGTTTTTAAAAATCTATATTTATGCAAAAGAAAGAGATACTAATTACATCTTAAGGATAAGTTTAAACATGATTCTATCTATGTATTTAAGTCATTGTCAGGGATCTAAGACTGAGAAGAAATTTCGAGTTTTGGGTCAAAGAGTTCATGGGATCACTACTCTTATAGCTGAGTTAAATAAAGTCCCAGGAGGTTAAATGGCTTGAACATACCATAGGCTAGTGGCAGAGAGATAATGGAACACACATATACAACTTGACTCTTAGCATAGTCCTTTTCCCATGAAACTACATGGCTCATTATTAAGTTATTTTTTATTTTCTGGGTAGGACAAATTACTAACGAAGTCAAGATTGTGAATTCATTTTTTTTTTTTTTTTTTTTTTACTGCCCAATTAGGCTTACAAAGAGAAAAAAAAAATATTTAGTGGTCACAAACTACATGCCTCATTCTGCTTGGCTGACATGGATGTTACTGGACAGAAAGGGGTTCAGGCAAACTTTGAGAACTTTTTGAGATTATTACTCAAAAACCAACTCCAAGTAAAAGGCAGGGCAGTGGGTTGCTAAAACAAAAGCCACAGAGTAAAAAGTGAACTGGAGTCACTTCTTCAGGATGAATTCTAATCCCTATCTTCTTTCTTCAATGGCTCTCTCACCTTTTCTTTGAACCTAGATCATAAATATGAATAAGACTTGCTCATGCTTACAAATGTGAATGTACTTTTTTATTTTTAATGTCATACATTCAGTAGATAGGCACAGTATTTCTGAATAAGAAAGAATTAAAGAATATCTATTCTTAAGACATCAGTCTTGCATAAACTTTTTGCACATAAATAAAAAATGACAATACTTTTTCAGCACACAGTGGAAATACTTGAAAATATAGACTAACCTAAGCTAAGTTAAACATGTTCTAGAGACTGAAGTGATGTTTTCATTAATAAACCCCACAAATCTTAAAGGAACATGTATTCTAAGGAGTTGTAATAGTTAATTATTTTTTAAAACTTTTATTTTAAAATGATGACATTTTAAAAAACAAATGCTCTGACCATTTGCTTATTAAACTATAAATATTAAACCAGAAGTTATTTATAGCTATGATATACTCATGGCACTCTTAGCTATTAGCTTGCTCTCTTCATTCAAATAGCAAGTTCAGACATAATAAACACAATCTTTTTGGCTTATTATTCTAGTTTGTAAGATTTTCCATTTTTAAAAATTCTATTTATTTACAACATGCCTGTTCCAAAAGAGATTGAAGGTGGGGTTTTCAATTAAGTTTATAAAAAAGCATATCCTCCAAACTTTACAGAGTCAAGAAAAAAAAGCTAAAAGCTTTTTATCATAACCTTTTAATTTTATCCTCTTGCTTACGGGCATGCTGTTTAAGTAAAATGTTCTCATCATGCAAACGCAAAAATCTGTCTTCCAGTTCTTCACGACTGACACGTGATATTGCTTGGCGAGACTTCATTGTCCGTGTTGTTGAAGTTTCTGCAAAAATGCCAAGGTAATTAATTATAGGATTACTTAACATAGTCTTTAAAAATGATAACTATTGGTATTAAAATAATCTCTGATGAATTCAGATTTTTCCTTTGTGATCTACAATGAAGATTTTTAAAGAAATATTATATAGCAATTGTTCACAATAATGAAGAGTAAGAATCTTGTGATTAATACTTTATATATAGTATTAGGGATTTGAGCAAAAATAGCATTTATTAAAAAATATATTCAAATAATCATTCTTTCAGACTATAAGATGGAACTCAGATTCAATAGGCTTTTCAATTTATATGCTGAATGCTGTAAAAATCAAGTCAGAAAAGTCAAAGAGTGTCTGCGCTCCAGGAGTAATTTAGTGGTAGAGCATTTGTTTAGCAAACGTGAGTCCTAGAGTTCTATCTCTAGTGACAAGCGTGCATGCACAAACATGTTAGAGTATCTGAAAGTATTTATTTATATATTTTTTACAAAAGCAAGAGTTAGAAAAATTTGGTGAACACAATGATTAAAACTTTTTTTGAGTCACGGGTGTTAAGCTATAAAAAACAAACTGTAATACAAGACCAACCCCTCCCCTTAAAACCCCTAAAATTTAAAAATTTGTCATTGGAAAGCTTCACAGATCATTTCTCTTCAAGCTATTTTTTTTAATATTTATTTTTTTTAGTTATAGGTGGACACAATATCTCTATATTTTTATGTGGGGCTGAGGATCGAACCCAGTGCCTCACGCATGCGAGGCGAGTGCTCTCCCTCTGAGCCGCAATCCCAGCCCCTCTCCAAGCTATTTTAATAGATAGAACTTTCACACACTTTGAGCATGCATATATCTTTTCACATGTTTAAATTGGGTACTTTCCATATCTTTGTGAAATACATCAATTTTTCATAATTGTTCAATAAAAACAAAGAAAAATCTGACAGAGATTAAAGTCTGATGGTGGTAATAGAGGATAAGAACTGAACTTCAACAGTATGAAAATCCAATAAATAGCTTTGTAGTCTTAAAATTTATTTGTATTTGAATACCTGATACTCCCTGAAAGATCTAAAGCAAAATTTACATACTATTCACTTTTAACAATAAAATACATATAATCAAATTTATCTTTTTTTAGTAAACAATACATTAACTTTCTGAGATAGTTAAAGGTAGTCATTTACACTCTTCTGATTAGATGGTACATGAGGATTCCCTAGTGGAATATGTTTTAAATCCCTAGGTTTTTCAATAGTAAATGTAGTGTCGCCAGATAGTATGGCTGACACATTATTTGTACACACAAATATAAACATTGCTTTCTATTTTAAATTGTTCTTTAAAGCAGTGTTTTCTTCCTCAATTTGAAAGTGCTCTTTAACTCTATAGCAACCACTAAGTGATAAAAGGATAAAAAAAACCTTTAATGTATATTAATTTGATAAAAAACTCACTATCACTTGCATAAACAAGCCATTTTGAGATACTCTACTTGAAAGGCAAAAAATTTTTAAATATGGCATTTCCTCTTGTATAAAACTTAAACATAAAGAAATGTTTTAATGGTGAATGTGATTTAAACCAGGCAATTTGGTTTGGAGGCATGATACTCTCTATGTAGTTTCTACTGATGTGTGGAATTTTAAAAAGATGATTTATAACAATTCTTTATCAGAACAGAGGGGGATTTTGCATTTGCTATGAGCTGTTGATAATTGATGCGTGCAGTAAAATACCATATGTGTTCCAAACTCTCCATCTTGTTTAGTCCAATCAAGAGCTATATAGTTACTTAAATGGTTTGGTTTGTATGAATATCAGAAATACTTTAAATTAAAAGTAAAGAAATCACTGATCAAAGTTCATAACTGTAATAAATAACAGCTGGCCATACCTTGTAACCCTCCTGCTCCAAAGAGGTTTAGACCTATATCTTTCACAGGCAGGTCTCCTGCAGTCTCATCAGTTGGACCAGACATGGCCTATCTGTGGAGAAACGAAAATTCAAATAAACTCTTCCCAAGTTATTACATTAAGCATGCAATGGAATGAACCAAATAAAACGAATAAGGGACCAGAACTTTAATGGACATCTTATTGCCCACATGTGCTGCTTGAAGAAGATGAAAGCTTCTATTCTAAAAGTAATACTACATTCAATCATGGAGACAGTGTTTCTTTCAACAGTGTATTTCCTATAGTTTGCTTAGGAAATGAGGTAAGATTATCATTCTTCCTTTTCTCTTTTTTCTTCTATGTGAAAAAATATCAAACTTCCAAATATAAGAAATATTTCCTTTCTAGCTCCCTTCTTCTCCACAAAAAAGCAGGCATCCTGGAAAAATATTGAATCAGGAACTTAATCCAAATGGTTGTTCTATTATTTAACTGCTCGTCAAACCACGCAACCTATTTGAGTGTCCCTTATTTAAAAAATGAAGTAAATAATACCTCAAAGTTATTGTAAAAATAAGTGAGATGATAAATTGAAAGCATTTAGCCCATGTGCTTGGGATGTCAATGATACTGGAATACTAATTTTTTGCTTGATGCACAGATGAATGGGGAGTTTCAAGTTTGGTGAAAATGGTTTCAAAAATTCATCAGTTGGTATTGCTTTTGTTACATCCTGCCTTTATCTCGAGATAAAGGTTGCAGGGATTAGCTATCACAACATATATAGCCTATCTAGCTAATTTTAGTATTTTTACAGTTCGTATTCTTTACAGACATTTGCCACAGCAACTTTATTTTGTATCTGGATGTGAATGGTCCATAAAATGTATAGTATGCAAAAAGGGGAAAAAAAAAGGATTTTATATTTTCTTTTTGATGTACCTGAGAAGTTAAATGCAAACTGCTAATGAAGATACCTTAAGGCAGAGGTTTTCAAGTTCTATAATGTTAAGATTAATGTAGCAAGCTTATTTGTCTTGTTCACTTCTTTATTCTTAGAGGCTGGCATAGAGCTTAGTACAGAGAGCAGGCATTCACTGGATAGTTGTTTGAATGAATGAATGAAGTTCAAGGAACTTCCAGGGTCCAAAAACTCAGATATGTTTTTGCAAATTTTGTATGTATATGTGTGGATGCAATATGCTTTAGGGAGTGGATTCATAATTTTCATTGTAACTCCAAAAAGTTGAGAACCACTGCAGTTTTGTGGGACAGAAACAGGTAATGGATGAATGCCTGGGAGATCAACTACTTCTTTTGGAAACTTTGCTACAGAAAATGTCATTTTTAGGACTTATATCCTTGTGATACTGTTACTCAAATGACTCCTGCTTTACAAATGAGGAAGCTGAGATAGATCAGGTAACTTGTCTAACATCACTAATCTAGGAAGTAGTTGTCTGGTGATATTTTGGGCTGTCATAACGGGGAAGGGGAGGTGTACTGGACTCTAGTGTAGATGTCAGGGATGAGGCTAAACATCTTGTAGTGCATAGCATCCATGACAATCCCATCCAAAATGTTAATAGTGCAGAGGTTGAGAAACCCTGCATGTTGTGGAACACCTTTACAACAACTCCCACTCTCCCTTCTTGCTGACTCCACTCCACTTCACTTACATTGTCCTCTACTTTCCACAAGCCCACCATACCCTAGTGTTGTTCAAAGCCTTTGCATTGGCTGGCTCCTTTGGAGTTGAGCTTTCCCTGACCATCCTATGTGAGAGTAGTCGTCTTCCCAATTACTTCGGGGTTTATTTCTTTTATAGCAATAGCCTTTATCTGAAAAATATTTTCATTTGTTTACTAGTTTACGTGTCCACTAATTAAGTATAAACATCTTCTGATGTGCATTGGGGTTCATAGTATGGAAGTGTCTTGTCCAATGGTGGGCGCTAAAGTTTGTATTTACTGAATGCATAACTGAATATCAGCCACTGAGACCAAAATGGTAAAAAAGTCCTTGCCTTTATGGCATAAACGGGTTATAGAAGTAGTGAGACAATAAACAAGAAATAAAGTAATAATAGGGCACTCACTCAAGGTGTTTAGGGTCCACCAAACAATTCTGAACACAGGGTAAGTGAGTGAAGTGTGTGCGTGACCTTCCACTTGAAGGATGTGGATAGGGACCGCAACTCTCATTAGGTAGGCTTTAGGGCTGGGATACAAAATTTCAGACCACTCCTGGGCGTGGGGATAAAGGGCGGGTTGTGATGCAGGCCTGAGTATGTGGAGGTGTCTCGGCGGGGCTGCTTTTCACGCAAGACCTCCAGGGTCTTCTCCAGACCGCAAAGCATACCCCAGGACCCTGGCCGGTGTTGCAGGGTTAGGGTCCGCTAGCCTCGTCCACCCCGACACGCCCCAGAGTACTCACCACCACTCTCTCCTGGCCGATAGCTGCCGATAGATAGCTACCGTTGCTATGGCGCCGACAGCTTGTCGGGCGGCCGGCCCAGAGGAGCACGGGAAAAACATGGCAGGCCCCGTTGCCCCCTGGGAAATGTAGTTCTTCGCGGCCTCCAGGCCTCCTGCTTGCTGCGTAGCGGACTACCCTGGGTCCGCTGTCGGACCGGGGAAATTCTGCTCTGAAGCCCGAGGCGCTCGCGGGCGTCGCGCGGTGCATCCTGGGAGTGGTAGTTCTCAAGGTTCTGAGGGCGCATGGCGCTGGATAGAAGCAGAACACCGAGAGAACTACACGCAGGAGGCGGGGCCCAGGGCCAGGGATTTACGCGGCTCTCGGTGGCGAAGGCGGCTTTAGTGGCAACATGAAGCGCTCACAGACCGCGGAGGAACGAGAGCGCGAAGCTAAGGTACGTCGGCCTTCCAGAGGTCTGGGATTCTTGCTCCCCTGGGAGCTAGAGGCAGGGAACCGGAAGGGCTTGCTTTGATGATGAGCGGATGCACGGTGTTAAACTAAGGGATGACAGGGCCTTGTCTGCAAGGATCCTGGAGACTTGGGCTGCGTGTGCGTGTGTGTGCGTGTGTGCGCGCGCGTGTGTTGTATATTCGTGTTGCTTAGGATGCAGGCCGAGTCCCGTTGGACCGGCTCAGGAATGAGAATCGAGACACCCATTCCCTTGTTCTATTTCTGCACCTATTCTGTGGTTAAATTTGTAGCCGCCCTTGTGCCTCAGTTTCCTGGACTCTCAGATGACTGTGATCACACCAGCTGTGCTTTCTCATTCCATCATGGTCTCTGAGGACTAAGAGCTGGATGAAATATCGTGCGGTCAGATGTGTTTATTTGGAACAGTTGTCTCAGTGGACAGCTGATACAGCCTGTGCCTTCAGCACTGTGGGTATGAATCTTTGACCACATTCTTATTCACTACCTTTGTTGTACAGGTTCTGGTAGTTGCTATTCCATGGGATGACAACAACAATTATAAAAGCGATAGAGATCTATTTATTTACTTACTTACTTTCAGCATTTATGGTGTATCCGGCACCTGTGTTTGGTGCACATTTGTATTATTTCATATTCTTATCACAACAGATTACAAGATAGGTATGATACAGATGGCTTATCAACAGTCCTGTTTCGAAGACGAAGAATTGAGATTCAGAAGAAGAATCACCGCCCCCCCCCCGCCCCCCAGTTGGGTTCTATTGATTTCTGTGAACATATTGGGAACCTGTCTACTTTTTCCACCTCCACTACCTTGCATCGGATTACCATTATATCTTTAATGAATTGTTGGAACAGCCTCCTCTTAGACTGTATACTCTAACTTAATACTCTGTTTCCCTTTCCCCCAATAATTAATTCCTTCACACTGTAGAGAGTTTTTTCCCCCCCAGATTCAAATCTAATTATGTCCCTTTCCTCATTACTTACTCTGCCAACCACCTGTTTAAAAATTACCATGTTCTTCTGTTGCTCTTTGGATAAGAACAAAACTTCACATAATCTAAAAGAATCCTGCATGGTCTGGGTCTTATCCACAACTTCCTTGGGCATAGCTCTTTGCTCTCTGCCTATCAGACACTTCTCGAAAGTCCCTCTTGCCTGTAGTTCATCTTCTCACAGGATCTTTGCACATGCTATTGGGTGCTCACTCTGTGTTAGGCAAATATTGGCAGTGAGCATCAGTGGTAAATAAAGCAGGTACAGTTCTTGCTTTCATGGAATTTACTCTTACAGTTGAATCTGTCTTAGGGCAGTACACCTGAGGATTTAAAACGTCAAATCTGGTCTATAATGACCTGAATTACCGTAACATTTCATAAAAGACCTGAAGTTTCTATACTTGAGTTTCCATATGATAGAGTTAATATACTAAAGATGGCATAAAGAGGGGGGGAGACCTTTCTGTATTAGTCTTCAAAGTTGAAAGAAACAAATGTTATATATTGGCATGATGCATTATGTCTTTCTCACCTTTCAGGTTGATTTTTTTTTTTTTTTTGGTACCAGAGATTGAAACTAGGGGCTCTTAACCACTGAGTTATATTCCCCAGCCCTTTTTTATTTTTTATTTTGAGACAGAGTCTTACTAAGTTGTTTAGGGTCTCGATAAATTGTTGAGCCTGGATTTGAACTTGCTATCCTTTTGCCTCAGGTCACAGGGATTACAGGTATGTGCTACTATGCCCAGCTCAGGTTGAATTTTAGAGTTATTCCTGTATTCTGTGAAGACTGATTGAGCATCTATGAATTGCTATACACTGGGATTATAATTTTGGCTAAGGTAGACTTCCTAGTCCAAAGGAAGCCTTACTCTGTTGAAACTATAACCATTGCCTGTGAGGTAGTTATTCGTGTTATTCCTATTTTACAGATGTGGGAACTGAGGCTTGTAGAAGTTGTGACTTGCTTAAGGCAACTTGGTTGCTAGGGTATGTAGGAAACACAAATTGTTCTTTTGACTTCAGCTTCAAAACTTTTCCCCATTTTCTCCTTGGAAACATGGTGAATTGGTAAAGCAAGTTTTCTTTCTATTGCCTTTAAAAAATTCTTTTATTTTTATTTAAAAATTGTTTGCTCATGAAAATTAGTTCTCTTTAAGTATAGGAAGTTGTTTTAAATCTTAAAGAGAATATGTCCAATTACTCATTCTCTTTTCTACTCTTTCCTACTTTTTAACTTTGTTGAGGCATAATTTATGCACAGTAATTTAAAAACCATTTATCATGTACCATTTGAGTTTTGACAGATGTATACACATGCAAAACTAGCACAGTTGGAATTAAGAACATTTCTATCCCTTCTAAAAATTTCCCCTTACTATTTGCAGCCAATTTCTTCATCTACTTTGGCCCTTAGTCAACCAGTAACATCTTTTCTGTCATTATATAAGAGTCTGTATTTTCTAGAATCTCATATAAATGGAAGCATGCAGATGTTCTCTTGGGTCTTTTTTCATTCAGCATAATGACTTTGGAGATTGATCCATGTTATTGTGTCTACCAGAAGTTTATTCCTTTACATTGCTGAGTAATAGGCTACTATGTGGATGTATCAAAATTGTTTATTCATTTACCTTTGCTGGACATTTGGATTATTTCTAGTTTTGGGTTATTATGAAAAAAATTGCTATAAAATATATATAAATCTTTGATTTCATTTATATCCCTAGGCAACCACCTTTGTTCTCTAGATTTGCCTTTTTTGGACTTTTTTGTATAAATGGAATTATATTCCAAGTGATCTTTTGTGTTTGGCTCCTTTTATCCAGAATAATGTGTTTGAGCTTTACCCACATTGTGGCACATATTAATGCTTCCTTCCTTTTAATTACCCAGTAAATGGCATTCATATATCTAAATATACCACATTTTGGTTATTTGTTTATCAGTTGATGCACATTGAGTTGTTTCAATTTTTGGCTATTATGAAAAATGCTATCATGAACAATTACATCCTAGTTTATGTGTGGACATATATTTTCATTCTTCATAGGTAGAGAACTAGAAGTGGAATTGCTAGTCATAATGTAAAGAAATGTGTTTTAACATTTTAAGAAACCATTAGACTGTTTTCCAGCGTGTGTTCTATTTTACATTCCCATCACCAATTTTGAGTTACAATTTCTCTGTCCTTGACAACACTTATTATTGTCTGTCTTTTTACTGAAGCCATGATAGTGATTGTGAAGTGGTATCTCATCGTGGCATTGATTTGCATTTCTGATGGCTAATAATGTGGAGCATCTTCTCATGTACTTACCGATCACATGTCTATCTTCCTTTGGAAAGTGTCTATTCAAAATCTTTGTGCATTTTCTTTTGGCAGATTGTCTGTGTTCTTGTTAAGTTTTGGGAGTTCTTTGTATTTCTAGATACAAGTCCTGACAAGGTATAAGTTTTGCAAACATTATCTGCCATTCTTTGAGTTTACTTAATGTTTTTTAATAAAGGGAGATTTATCAATATTTCTTTTTATGATTCATCCTTTTTGTGTAATATCTATGAAAGCTTTATTCCAGAGTTACTAAGATGTCATGTTTGCTTTTTAAATTAAACTTTGCCATTCCCATAATGGGTAATTACTTTTGGTACTCTTTTTCTCTTTGAAATAATGTAGATTGTATTTTCTTCTTTGTGATTGCTTATGCTGTAGACTTTTATGCAGTTTTCAAGTCTGGAGGGTGATTGAAGAAAGTTGGACTAAATAGGTAGCTTTCCATGATAACATTACTTAATTTGTTTTAAAGCCTAAGAGCATGCATTTTTAAAAAGAATTTTTCTTATAAAAAGAAATAAGCAGAATAGTCCAGATTAGTATTGATGGCCTGAGTTAGACTGTTTTCTATTATTTTCTTGCTGTTGGAACAGGATTTTCACACCTAGTATCTCAGTTGCCCCAAGCAGAAAATGAGACAAGAATGGCTGCTTTTGTGGATTGTTGTGAAGCCCCATTATGATTAAGTTTGGCCACTGGGCCACAACAGAGTAGATAAGGCTTTTGACTGTATTTGGTTAACCAAGAGGACTTCTGTGTGTGTTTTTTGTTTGTTTGTTTGTTTGTTTTCAGATGAAATAATTTAAAACTTAGAGAACACCTGCAAAAATAGAACATAGGCCTTTCATAGACTTATTGTCTGGATTTACAAGTTAACGCCTTGCTCTGTTAGCTTTATTGGTCATGCTTCTCCCTCTCCTTCCCTTCTTCTCTCTCTTTCTCTCTCTCTCTCCCTCGCTGTATGTATACATATGAACTGTTAACTCTTTATTACTGTTTTTACATTTTTGAGGTGTTGGGGATTGAACCCAGGGCCTTGAACATGGTAGATAAGCTGTCTACCACTGAACTACACCCAGCCTTATTAGTATTCTTTTTAAGAACTGCTACAGAGTAAGTAGGAGACATCAGCCCTCTTTACCACTAAATAGTTCTGCATGTGTTTCCTAATAGCAAGGACTACATATAAACGTCAATTATCAATTTCAGAAAAGTTTTTATATTAATGTAATACTGTTATTTAATCCAAAGGACATGTTCATATTTTGCTAATTGTCATAATACTCTCTTTTATAAAGCATCCCCGGCCCAGGCACCAATCCAGAATCATACATACCTTTAGATGTCATGTCTTTTTGATCTCTTCTCCTTTAATCTGGTTTCCTTTAATATCATTTAAATCGATTTCTTATCATTTCCTTGTCCTTCAAGCTATCTACAATTCCTGATAAGTACAGGCCATTTGTTCTGTAGAATGGCCTTGTATTCTTATTTGTCTGATTTTTTTTTTTTTTAATGATTGGATGTAGAGTATGCATTTTTGGCATGGACAGTTTTGAGGAATGATGTAGCATTAGAGATCATAAATTTATAGCCCACATATTTATCCTAGTGTGATAAAAGTAT